CTGGAAAAAGTGAGTTAATACAATGAAGTAGATTATTTTAACTTTCAGAAACTCAAAATAATAAGTTATCTGAAATAAATAAATTATTTAAGTTGATTTGACAAAAGAAAAAAATGTTGTGATAACTACACTGTAAAAAAATATTGTTGGTTTAACTTAAAAAAGTAAGTGACCTGGTTGCCTTAACATTTTCAGTTAATTGAACTGGAACAAGTGAGTTAATACAATGAAGTAGATTAATTTAACCATCAGAAACTCAAAATAATAAGTTATCTCAACTAAATAAATTATTATAAAGTTGATTTGACAAAAAAAAATATGTTGTGATAACAAATCTTGAAAATATTTTTTTACAGTGTGTGTTAATTCTAATGCCTAATCTATGATCAGTAATATTTGAAAAGGACTCACGTCCAGTCAGCAATTATTTGTCGTAAAATGGTTTATTGCTGTTTATTCATCAGTAAATCTATAAATCATTGTTCCACTTTGTTCCTTCATGACCTCTTTAAGAATCCACATTTTTCAGCCACATTGTTGTATAGTCCGGCAATGAAAAATCTTTCGGTCATCTTCTGGCGTATCTGTATGTTTTTCTGGAACCCCCTGCAACCCTAAAGGAGCGACTGGGAGAAGTTGGACCTCTGGCTTTGCACACTGAGCCCCTGGGAAATCTGGGAGAGGGGTGGTTTCTCTCACGGACTGAGGAGGAATTTTCCCACAACCCCTCTCTGCAAAGGGGGAGGACTGTCATAGCTATTGAAAAAAACAACAAAAAACTAAACACAGCTGATCCCTGACACACACACACAAATAAAAAGTGTGGTGGTGGAGCCATGAGGAGAGTGATTGAATCAAATATGTGTCATGGTATTAAATGTAAAATGAATTGTATTTTTACTAAAAATAAAATCACTATGAACACAACTCCTGTAAAAGCATGATTCCAGAAATATGTTTTTATTGAACAGTGATCGAGCAACACATTTTTGTGGGAAAATAAATCATAAAAGTGGTTTGTTTTGTTATCTTATACATGTATGAGGTGGCGAAGGGGGCTTTTATGGGGTCGCAAGTTCACCGACATGTGGGAAAGACACTCAGTATTCACACACTTTAATGCTTCGAATAAAGTTAATACTTGTTAAAAAAAAATCTCTTAAGCAAAGTTTGTAGTTATGTTTTAGACAGTTGTTAGACATACTATTAAATTATGTTCATTTTGGAAAGTTACAGATTTTTTAAAAAAAATCTAAAGATCCCACAATAATGATATTTTATTATACTGAAAAATATCATATTTGTTATTTTGAAGATTTCATTATAAATATATGATCATAAATAATCTCTGGGTAAAAAAAGCAAAGACCTTTATCTAAACTACATTCAGCAGTAATTTTATCCCTTCTCATTTGCTACAGACAGTGCATTTGTAAATCTAAAACATGAAAAATATATACTAAATATTAGATCAACATGTTCGACCAGTGGTTCTCAACTCCAGTCCTCGGGACCCACTGCTCTGCATATTGTGTATGTGTCCCTTATTTAACACACCTGATTCAGATCCCGTTAGGATAGACTCTATGAACTGAACTGAGTGTGTCAGATCAGTGCAGAGCAGTGGGTCTCGAGGGAGAACCACTGTTTTAGACTCCACTTTCTGCCCTTCAATTTGGCCAAAACCCAGAAAATCTTCTACATTTCATGTAGAAACATGACAACATGCAAAATGCAGCATTCATGGTTTTCAGCCCTCATTTTCCTCAGTTGTTCGCACCACTGAGCATACAGTACATCAGTGCGTATGAACGCTCACTCTCTCTCCTGATAACCAGTGCCAACTCGTCTCACAATCCATGTGTGACTCAACACCTTTTACCAACTCATAAGATGGATGGATGGATGGATGGAGGGATGAATTTGGATTGATATGGATGGATGGATGGATGGATGGAGGGATGGATGGAGGGATGGATGGATTTGGATTGATATGGATGGATGGATGGATGGATGGATTTGGATGGATGGATGGGTGGATGGATTTGAATGGATTTGGATGGATGGATTTGGATGGATATGGATATGGATGGATGGATGGATATGTATGGTTGGATATGTATGTATGGATGGATGGATGGATGGATGGATGAATTTGCATGGATGGATGGATGGATGGATGGATATGTATGTATGGATGGGTGGATGGATTTGGATGGATGGATGGATGGATGGATATGGATGGATGGATTTGGATGGATGGATTTGGATGGATGGATGGATGGATGGATATGGATGGATGGATATGGATGGATGGATTTGGATGGATATGGATGGATGAATTTGGATGGATGGATGAATTTGGATGGATGGATGGATGGATGAATTTGGATGGATGGATTTGGATTGATATGGATGGATGGATGGATATGCATATGGATGGATGAATCATGGATAGATGGATGGATGGATGGATGAATTTGGATGGATGGATGGATGGATGGATATGTATGGTTGGATATGTATGTATGGATGGATGGATATGTATGGATGGATGGATGGATGGATGGATGAATTTGGATGGATGGATGGATGTATGTATGGATATGTATGGATGGATGGATGATATTTTTCAGACTGTATAATAAAATATCATTATTGTGGGATCTCCTTCAATGCATTCAGAATCTTTAATCTGTAACTTTCCAAAATGAACATATTTTAATAGTATGTCTAACAACTGTCTAAAACATAATATGGATGGATAGATGGATGGATGGGTTTGGATGGATGGATGGATGTTATTATTAGTAGAAATTCATTCATCAATCACACACATTTTCGATTTCCTAGATCACTATCACTGTTTATCTCTCATGAAGTGCAATTTAGTGTTTTTCCAAATAATTTGTTAAAAACACCGAAGCGACGTTCTCTAGTCTTGGTGTTGAAAGCACATCTTTTTTTCTTTATTTCTACTAGCGCAAACACTAAAAAAGTGCTGTGCATGTTCTGTGTATATAAACACAGCACCAGACGGGCAGTCAGAGTAACACTCGCTCTGGTCACTGCAACCATAACATGCCAAGTACAGCTCCTACTAAAACACCCCAAGAACAAGCCTTTGTAACGCAGGCAGGAGACCAGCGGCGAGGAGACAAAGGCATCCAGTGTGTTTCTAACTCAGACGCTTGGATGCTATTAATAAATGCTTCCAGATTTTCCCGCAGTGAACTCTCTTTGGCTAACACACACCAGCTGGGCACAGGCGGTTGGCAGAGAGGGGTGTAGAGATACTGTAGATTGTGCTGAGTTGCTAATTATTGACAGACCACAGAGGAGCAGAGTCAACAGCGTCTACTACACTTAAATAAAGCGAGCTGTCCAGCAGAACGTTTTTTACACTTATTATTGTCTTAATATTTTATTAAAACGTTGGCTTGTAACCTGTCCCGCACTGTGATATGTGAATAAATTGGTATATCTGGACATAAATGAGAGACGTGCTGTTATTATCACATGACAAAAAAACTAAACAAGCAATTGAAACATATGATTCAAAACTTGAATTCATTATTGACACCTGACACATGAATCAGACTTAAAATGGGCTGTTTTGGCTTGGGCCAGTAAGGAAACACCTAGCAACCACCCAAAATAAAACCCAATGCCCTACAAACCACCAAGAACTGGGCAAGTCGTCAAGCCAACTCCAACATCATGGCAAGCACAGGCAAGTAGCATTCATTTTGTTTTTAAGAAGATGTAAAATGAAATCCCTAAGTTCCCTAAGTAACAAAAGTCATTGATAGTCAAAGAAAGATACTTTATATTCCTTTCAGAAGTGCATGTTTACGTTCTATTAGTTTTGGCGTGTTGGTGCTAATGTCAATCAACATCTGGACTCAAACTGCATGTTTCCAGAAGCTCTCTCTACAGAAGCAGCCGGCAGAACATCTATATTCTCCGTTTACTGCCAAACACAACACACACACGAGTCCGAGCTGCTTACAGTGACGTCCATCTCGCCCACCGGGTCAGCATGTGTGCACAATGCGACTTTTTCCCCCCAAAAAAACCTCACCTGGTCAGAAGAATACAGCCACTGATGGGCAACTGACACAAAGAAAACTCAACACAAAATGATGTAACTAAACTATGCTGCAAGGCTGGCCCTAATATTAAGTATGGGTGAAAAATAGTTGGCATTGCTTTTTGTAATATTTTTTTGGATACCTGACATGGATGGACTAAGCAATAAATGACACACCAACTTCCTATGTGAACACAAAACTTTGCATGGCCATTGAACACTGCCCTTTAGTACCAGTATTCCTTTTCTTTTCTTTATATACACACAGCCACTTTATTCATTGGTTGCCAACCGTTTATAGTAACAAACAAAATTATATTACATGAATATTGCACATATAGTGTATTTGGTCAGATATAATAAAAAAGGCAATGTGAAAAGATCATTTGAAGGACGGACAAACTATGTTTTAGAAAAAGTATGTTTTATAATTTGTAATGTGAAAAGAGGGAAACAGCGCCCTCTACTCATCACGAAAACAAATACAGCCTCAGATTCAGAATACTACACTATACAACACCGGCAATTGGATTTTGAATTAAATCTAACTAACGTTAAATAATATGTTTAATCACATTTCTGATAGGCAACTGTAGACATGACGTAAATTAAATAACAACGTTATAATTCACAAAAACAACCAATGACACTGACTGCATGACGGCTGCGTGAACGAGTGTCATCTGAAATTGGCAAACCAGATATTAATACTGGGCTACATCATATAAAAAGGACAATTGTGGATTTTACTTAAGGTTCATATCTAAATAATTGAAAAGGATAGGTCTATATAGCCGAGATGCTGTGAATGTGTTAGTGTCAGCAATGTCTCTACAATGTTAGCAGAGCAATCGTTATTCAAAATCATAACACGACTAGCACAAATCAGCAGCGCTTCATTACTTACAGTATATCTTCATATTTGAGAGAAAGGCGGTGTCCAAATTGTAATCCGTTTGAGATGATACCGTGAATTTAGCGTTGAGACTTCAGAAGTGGCAGTGGCTGAACGACGAGCGTCTCACCATCAGCAGTCCAAGCGCTACACGCCTACTAACTACAGTCTCTCTTAAAGACACAGTTCATCAGCATCTCGTGCCTGCAACCAAATCAGGGCTGAGCCAAGTGTACGACCGCCGAAACAAAGTGACAACTGATGTAAAGCCAATAATAACGTACAACCTCCTGAGACCTGGAAAAAAAAGTTTTTTGAATGTAGTATTTTTCATGTAGGCTAATTATTCTTTACGAAACAAATGTGAGAAAAAACAGTTTTTGAACATTTTTTTTTAAATGTATGTTAAGACACATTCACACCGAGAAAAATATGCCTATTGATAGCTATAATAACGATGATGAGTATGTTATCGTTCTGTCTGTTTCTATGGTTTTGTCGTCTGCCACTTTAAATGCTCGAGCTCTTTAAAAGCAGGATAAATTCTGATTGGCTGTCAATGTTTTTTTCGTTCATCACCTGGAGATCAAAATTATTCTGATCGCAAAAAAATGTATTCCAATGATATTGTTTCCACGTTATTGTTGTGGTGTGGACTCTGCTATTCTTTTATATTTAGAACTATTGTTTATAGTTTTTTTTTAAACCAAACTATGAATTGAAATACCATTTTACTTTATGCAATATGAGGTTAAAATGGCCATACACAATGTATATAGGCTACGCTTATTTATGCATATCAAATTTGCATATTAAATGTGTTCTTGGGGAAACATGCAATAAAAAAACAAGTGGCAACATTTTAAAAATAGCCAAATAATATTTCATAGGAATATTGATATATAATTTCTTTCCATATTCACTTGCTGTGTCTCCCAAAATACCTAATAAACATGCATGAACATGAAATCAATGCACTGTTTTGGAACAAAAGTCCTATTTAGAAACCCCATAACATTTTCCCGAGATGTTAATTTATTAGATTTGGTAATAAATAGTAATAGTTTAGTAGTATAAACATTAAGATAACCATTTGGCAGGCCTGTGCGCTTTACAAGACATCCTGACGTAAAAAGGTGACACAAAGAAGTTATATATATAATGTGCACTGCAGTGGACTAAAGTCTATTCCTGAGACCCGGGAGGAGAGCTAAAGTGTCTTTTGAAAGACTAGTGAGACTCATGATGCTGTATTATTCTGCTGGTTAAAAATGTATTATTATGCACTAGAGCTTACAGTTTGTTGCTGGCCTCGGGCGGAAACCGCTACTTTTCGGGAAATGAAAAAAAAAAAAAACGGTGTATTTTTAAAATAATTAAACACTGCATTGTCAAAGTTGATTTTGAGGCTTTTTATGGTCCGACACTGCATGGCTCTGAGTATACAAACAATATATTACATTTTATCACCCCTGCTTTCAGCCCTCTGTCCATCCCTCGAGATTCCACCCAAACTCTGAGAGAGAGAGAGAGAGAGAGAGAGAGAGTTGGCATTGTCTGTGGGCCTGCTAACCAACGCTCTCTATTTTTACTCTGTATTTGGGGTGGTTAACAGCATGCTGTGGGCTCCAGTGCTGGCCTATACCCCGCGCAGCTAAATCTGAACTCGCTGAGGTTAGAATAGCAGATGCTGGGTGAAACAGTCGAGCACCCTCCAAAATCCCACAGAAGTAGGAATAACTCAGGGCGTATCATCGTTTTATATATTTATATATTTATATATAAAACGTTCATCGGAGCATGTTTGATTGATTAAATGCAGAATACACGAAAATAAAAATGTTTGGAGACTGTGCTCATCTAAAGAAAGTAAAAAGGGAGCTTTATGTACAGGTGATTTTCATAAGCATGAGACTGGGACACCTTCATGGGAGGCCCTGATAGAATGTCCATAACAGCAAGAGCATTTCTATAAAAGGTAATGGAATGCACCTAAAAGCTTTGGCGAAGTGTACAGCGCACGTCACAGATTACTTTGGCTCCGTTTCCGTAAGCAGATATCAAAATGTTATCAGGAAAACCCCAAAGTTGTCATGGCTTTCAACAGCTTAATGAGACATTTTTTAAAATAAAATTGATTTTTCAATATAGGAAATACAAGATCACGAGAAATTCGGTCTGGTAGATCCTCATGGCTTCATAATGTATTCATTATAATAGTTAGCCTATATGCACTGTAAAAAAAATATTGATGGTTTAACTTAAAAAAAGTAAGTAACCTGATTGCCTTAAAATTTTAAGTTGATTGAACTGGTAAAAGTGAGTTAATACAATGAAGGAGATTAATTTAACCATCAGAAACTCAAAATTATATGTTATCTGAACTAAATAAATAAATTATTTGAGTTGATTTGACAAAAGAAAAAAGGTTGTGATTACTACACTGTAAAAAAATATTGTTGGTTTCATTTAAAAAAGTAAGTAACCTGAGTTGCCTTAAAATTTTAAGTTGATTGAACTGGAAAAAGTGAGTTTTAACCATCAGAAACTCAAAATAATATGTTATCTCAACTAAATAAATTATTATAAAGTTGATTTAACAAAAGAAAATATGTTGTGATAACAAATCTTGAAAATATTTTTTTGTGACCGTAGATCAGTACTTCTTTAAAGGGGACATTTATGACGAGTGTGAGCAGACAAACAAACAAAAAAAAAAAACAAAAAAAAAAAACAGGGCATTAGTTTGTCTATTGACCCATGATCCATTTTTCTTCCAAATTTTTGTTTGTATTTATTTTCTTTCAGTGGTAAACTGAAAGAAAAAAGTAAACTCTTAATGTTATGATTATGAAACGCATTAGAGCAGTGATGGACAGCTATAATTATATGCAAAAATGTCAGAATGCAGTGATGCAGAGAGTTTATTTACATGCAGTTTAAGCCTGTTATACAACATATTATTGCTTGACTTCTTTAATAATCAACATTTCTGATTATTTATATATTTTAAATATGAATTACTTCACTTTCCCAACTTCTCAAGCACTATTGTTCTTTAATAAATCTTGCTTATATATTATATACATATTTATATATAACAGCAAGATTTTGAATAGCATTTAGAGAAATGTAAAAGTATAAAACTTACTTAGATTTACTGTAACTATGACACAAATAAAAGACATGATGCCAATATGTCAAATAGACATAAAGATCATTTACACTGCATGAATGCCTTCTGGATCAGTGCTTTAATTGGCTATTGTGTTAAATGCAACTATATACTTTGCAAGGAGCTCTAACAAGATGATGTGTGAACATTCACAACATGTTAGCAAAACACAAAGGGGTGAAGCGTCACAAAGAGCTTTCGTGTGTATAAACAGGTTCTTCAACATCAATGTTTGCATGAAATTTCCAGCTCATTTACTCTTGTGTCTCTTCTGTCTCTTTCTGAGAACATCAACACAAAACTTAAAACATTTCAAAAATGTCGAATCATAAGTGAAATGAACAGAGGATTAAAGAGATGCATATCTCCAATGTTAGTCTCATCCGTCATAAACCTTCTGTCTCATCAATTGAGAGGAAACACGTCTCATCTTGTGTTCCAGTAAAGTCACCAAACAACAACAGTTTTGCTTTCACTTCGTGGCACCTTGTGAAAAATGAACCTGCAAAATGCCAGGGTTGTCACATGACCAAACTCTCTGCAACAGATCTCAGCATGCCCTGATGGAAATGGTCAATTTGAGCATCATTAAACAGTGTTGTTGTCGAGGCTAGTCCTTTCGAGTCCAAGTCGAGAAAGACAACGGAAGTTGGTCAAGCAAGTTAGAGTACAAAAGCTCCATAAATCATGCAAGGCAAGACCGAAACTTCAAGCAGTTTAGACTGGAGGTGAGCCACATCTGAAAGAGGAGTCAGACAGGGAAGGGTCCGACCAGAGAGAGTCCGTACAGTGATCAGGTCCAGGCGAGAAGGTCACCATGAGGCCAACAGGAACATAAACAGGGCAAACCAGGGGCAAGGTCAACGGCTAGAGGTCGACACAGCAATCAGTGCCAAGGGATATCCCATCAACCAGAACCAGGGACGAGAGCGAGAGTCAGTACTGGACGGGTAGTCCATGGACCTGTGTGTTCTGGAGAAAACAGAAACCAGCCTGCGATGTGTTCATGTGTGTGTGTAAGACTGGCAGACACAGAATCTTTCATGCTCGTGCAAACACTGAGGTGGAGGAGGACGACTCTTCGACGTGTGTTTGAAGAGTCAGTGCTCACCGTAGCCTGCGATGTATTTATGTGTGTGAGTGTGTGTGTGTAACACTCTTTCTGCTCTGCCCCTTTAACTCTGCCATTAATAAACACACAGCGCCACCTGTCGTGACAGAGGGAATGTGCATCAAGTTTTAACAGCAAAGGTGTTTACAGTTGAAAGGCTTAATTGTCCAATTCAAATTTGTAATCCAAGCTCATTATTTTAATGTAAGAAATTATGTAATGTAACGGCTGAAGTGCGTTAAGCACGACGCGAAGCGGATCATATGGGAGACTGTCATAATATAGGCAATTATATTGATCTACTGTATGCATTTTACTGCATTAAAAGGCTTAGAAAGTTCTTGATAAATGAAATCGTCTCCTTCAGGTTGTGTTTATCCATCATCAGGGGAAAAAAACGCTGAAACGATGTTTAAACGGTTTTCTGTCATTTATTTATCTGATACACCGCATTTGTAATGATCTATTAGTAATCCTGTACATTTGGTTAGTGCGACCTCTGCTGGTCACTATAATGAATGCCACAAGCTGCAAGATACTAAATAAAGTAGGCTGTAAATTGGAGGGGAATCTCTCTCATCTAAACACTGATGATAATTTTGTCTCATAAAGAGAAAATTAAGTAAGATTCTTAAATTGGAATAGGAATATGATTGGTATTTTCTGCTAAGTATTAGGCTATCTCCTTTGTCCCATCAGCATGAATCAAACATAAACACACTTTTTTTGTTCGGACAGCTAGGGGCCTCCCCATATAGACTCTATACTCTATACTGTAATCTGAATGGCAGGGGATATAAGCTGTCAGCGCATTTAATTAGGCTAATCATATCTCACTGAGAAACAAACTGATTTTCACGCGTTTTTTGTTTGTTTGTCTTTTTGCTGCAAAGGTAATAAATGATACAGGGCACATGGGATATTTTGTTCACAAAATACAACCAATAGTACGGAAATGTTAAATGTTAAATCTTACTTGTGAAAAGTAATTCCCCGAGCGATAGTCCGCCGATTTGAACAGGAATATGCTGCTCAGTGCTCTGACATCTACTGCTGCTGTGCAACACATTAGGAAAATGACCGGTTCAAGATGGCGGCCGGATTTCTCAATGCCCAGCGGCCAATGGGCTCTATGCACGGCGGTATTTCCGGTGAAGATGTAAGGATGCTCGATAACTTTCGCCGATCGTAGAGTCCAATGCAATACCGAGAATTTATATTGAATTTTATACTCCATGGTTATACTAAAAAAACGTTAGCCACAAAAACAGATAAAACAGACACCCCTCGTTGTGTTTTACTTCTTTTTAAAATTATATTAAATAAACATAACTATATATAAAATTACATCTAAACGTATGTACGTTTCATTTCAAAGACAGGAGGACAGTAAATTTTGAAGACTCTGCCATAATCCCGTTTTCCTCAAGTGTTCCTCCGCTTTAATCTCCACAACCGGAAATGGACGAGCATCCTTGCGTCAAATGCGGAATTTATGCGTGCATATTAGCCCATAGGGCATCTAATCTCTATATGATATCTAGGCTTATACCAGCCATTTAACCCCGAACCCTTCGACTTCAGGTTGATGGAACGGGATGAGCTAAAATGATAACTCCAGGTTTTTACATTTTCCAGTCATTTGTATTGTCTTTTAAAGGGATAGTTTCATCGTTAACTCAACCCTTGTGTTGTTCCAAACCTTAATGAACACTGGGGTCGAAACAACTCTAAACCCCATTGACTTTCGTTATATGGGGAAAAAAAAAAAAAAAAAACTGACTACAGAGTCATTTTTCAAACCATCTTTTTTCGAAACATCAGTTTTGCTCAATTTTTGCTCAGGTGCAAGTAAAACGTTTTCAAAGCAAAATAGGTATCCTCATAGAAATGCTGTTTATTATCATTATCAAAATACATCTAGACCAAAATATAGTATTCTTTGTGTTAAGTAAATGATTCTCACTTGAATAAATCACATTAAGACACAGGAACAGCTCTTATGACCATTAGCGGATCAGCTAGAGTCGTCTGAAGGCACGTAGTGCTATAGAAGAGCTAAGCTACATTCCCTCAGGTTGATGTGCGTTCTTTAGGAGTCGGTCAGCGATGGAAATCTCCTCTCTGCCCACCCGTCTTGCTGAGTAACTTGATGTCAGTGATGATAATGTCCCGGCTGACTGACTTGCACATGTCGTAGAGAGTTAGCGAGGCGACGGTGACGGCGCTCAGGGCCTCCATCTCCACTCCTGTGCGGCCCGTGGTTTGGCAGGTCGCCTTCACGATGACGGCATGTGCCTCTTCCAGCAGCTCGATGGTGACGGACACGTGGTCCAGAGGAAGCGGGTGACAGAGGGGAATGAGGGATGAGGTCTGCTTGGCACCCATGATGCCCGCTAGCTTTGCTACCGCTAGGGCATCGCCCTTGGCGAGCTGGTTGACGCACACCAGATGAAAAGCTTTTGGACCCAGGATGACTTTACCACAAGCTGTGGCTGTGCGACAAGTTACCGCCTTACTGCCCACATTAACCATGGAGGCTTTACCCTGGGCATCAGTGTGGGTCAACACGTCAGAGGTTCCATCAAAGCTGGACGATTGTGCGTCTGTATGCGGCATTTTCAAATCGAACCCTGTTTTTTTGTGGCAGTGGCGTGCAAACTGCACAGATGAATCTCTAAATCTGTATGTGGACAGTAGTGCACTGGGAAGGGGGACAGGAGCCAATGTTTTGGACTGTAGCTGAGTTGGGCGAGACCTGCGTGTAGGAGGTTTTGAGGAACCGGGAAGTGCCAATGAGGCTGCGGACGTGTGTCTTAGATTATTAATGCTCATCATGGGATTATCCATTCTATGAAAATGAGTCAAGCCTTGTGCATCATTAACACAAGCGCTTGTGTCGTGTTGAGTGTGATGTGGTAAAGAAGATGCTGGATCAATGCTGTGGATGAGAGGGAGACGCCGGCCGTGATGTCCATCTGTGAACAAGGACACACACATTCAACAATACTGAACTGGAATATCCTGCTGGAAATATTTGGTAGGGGTGTGCTACCTATGATCTACGAGCTGGAATCATTCAGTTTATCACTAGCTTTGAAAAACGCGAGTGCAGAAAGTGATTCATCTTTTATGTTGGTGTCTGGGACAATGTGTGAGCCAGGAGACTGTAGCGTTAGCTTAGCTTAAATGTGTAAGGATTCTCAATTGAAACATGTAGAAGTCTATTTATGCTCCATTTTGCAGACTAATATAACTAATTTACAACTAATATAGTCGCTAACTAAGCTACAGCACATAGTGATGGGAGGAACTAAAGCGCCACACGGTGGTGACCTCTGCTGGGCAAATGCAGCAAAACCTCAGGCCAAAACATGCAAAACACAAACCTGATGTAAATCAGCATAATTCACGGCTTCACAGAAATCATGGTTTTTTTTTTTTGACTATATCACACACCCCTAGTTTACGAAGGCGTATTGCATTCACTTGAAGAAAAAAAATCTAATCTGTTTTTCTGAATTAACAAGTTAATTATCTCAGAATTACGAGTTAATTTTTCATGGAAAAAAATTTTGCTCCGTTTTTCTGAATTAACAAGTTAATTTTTCATGAGAAAAAAAGTATTGATTTTTTTTGAAAAAAGTTTTCACATTTTTTTTTGCTCTGTTTTTCTGAATTAACGAGTTAATTTAGAAAAACAGAGCAAAAAATATTTCCATGAAAAATTAACTCGTTAATTCAGAAAACCAGAGCCAAAACTTTTTTTTCATGAAAAATGATCTCGTAATTCTGAGATAATTAACTTGTTAATTTAGAAAAACAGAGTAGATTTTTTTTTTCTCCAAGTGAATGCAATACGCCTCCATACTAGTTCATCAAAAATACATATTTTTATAGAAAACAAATGTTGCTTGTACTTAAAAATGTATCTAAAAAAGTTCAAATGTAAATGCATTCATTTCACACTTTTGTAATGCAAAACAATAATAATAATACGGTTTTGTTCAATTGACTGGTTTGTCCTCTGCAAACAATTTTTTCTGCTTTGACAAACTTCTACTGGTCCATCAGCCTAAAACTGTGAGTGAAAACAGAGAAGCGAGCGAGTGATGTGGGAAGTGTATTACGTACAGCTGTGTCACCCACCAATGAGGATCATCGGCCTGTTCTTCATCTGAGATATATTGAACATCCCTGAAGAAAAAAAGAGAGAAAGTTATATTCAATTTTAAAAAAGTACATGATGATGTAGACATGACATAAGAGTGTGTGGCTTTGTACAAAATCCCCCCCTATACCCTCATTCACTGTTCACTAATAAGTGGAAGTGCTGCTGCTTTTGCATAGTTTGAGCTTTCCGTTTAATCTTTTTTGCAAATAAAAATTGCAAACTGGCAGCTTCAGTAGTAATAAGAATATTTATCTGGAACTAGCATGTATAAACCTTAAAGGAGTAGTTCACTTTTAAAAAAACTTTTGCTGATAATTTACTCACCCCCATGTCATCCAAGATGTCCATGTCTTTCTTTCTTCAGTTGAAAAGAAATTAAGGTTTTTGATGAAAACATTCGAGGATTTTCTTCATATAATGGACTTCAATGGGGACCAAACGGTTCAAGGTCCAAAAGACAGTTTCAGTGCAAACTGCTCAAAGGGCTTTAAATGATTCCAGATGATGAATAAGGGTCTTATCAAGCGAAACAATGTCATTTAAAAAAAAAAAAAAAAAAGTTTAAGTTTTATAAGCTCAAATGCTCGCCTTGCTCTGTTCTGTGATGAGCGTTTGTGACTCTCCTGTTCGAAAATGAACTAATCTTTTTTGTGTCATTTGGTTCACTCAACGAATGAATTGATTTGGGAAAAGATAAGTTCATTTTGATGAATGAGTTCAAACAGGAGTCACGAACGCACATCACAGAACAGAGCAAGGCGAGCATTTGTGCTTATACAACTTAAACTTTATTTTAATTTTTTTTAAATGAGCGATCGTATCGCTTGATAAGACCCTTATTCATCGTCAGGAATCATTTAAAGCCCTTTGAAAAGTTTGCACTGAAACTGTCTTTTGGACCTTGAACCGTTTGGACCCCATTGAAGTCCATTATATGGAGAAAATCCTGGAATGTTTTCATCAAAAACCTTAATTTCTTTTCGACTGAAGAAAGAAAGACATGGACATCTTGGATGACATGGGGGTGAGTAAATCATCAGCAAAAGTTTTTTTAAAAGTGAACTACTCCTTTAATATACAATGAAATTATCAATTTAAAAATGAATTTATATTGTATGATATTACTCTGTACCTACACTGGACTGCATTGATTCAGCTGCAGCGCCATCTTCTGGTCAGATGCGGGAATTCATTCACAATGCATGATGGGTATTCTCTAGCCGTTGAGCGTTGTGCACTCGTTATTGCGGTGCATTGTGGGATTGAATGAGTGAGCTCGATAACTGTGGTTTTGGACACCACTACAACAGTCTGTTCCCTCAAACAGTGCCCTATTTAGGGGTATAGGGGACGATTTCAGACATAGCCTGTGTATGTGTGTGTGTGTGTGTGTCTTTACCTGCATGCTGTTTCTTCTTCCTCCCGACTGCTGCCCCTATGATGTGCAGTAGTTCCTCTTCAGATGCTCCAGAGCGCAGAATATCCCTCAAAGACACCTCTGAATTCCCAAACAAACAAACCTAATAGCATGCCAACACACACACACACACACATATTAAACACAGAGTAAACAACTGGGTGAGAAGCATAAGGGTGTGTAAGGAACGTACAGTACCTTCAGGTTGCCATCGGCGGTGATGCGCAGGCGGTTACAGGAACCACAGAAATGATCTGACATGGAGGTAATGAAGCCCAGCTGGCCTCGAAATCCTGGTACTCTAAACGCCTAAACACAGAAATACACACACGAGGGCTTATCCGCTGATTCAGAATGTTTTAACACAAGCTTTTCGGCCTATTAATAACATGAGAAAGTTACAAAGTTGCACACTGGAAATAACCTCAGCAATGAGCCAAAACAAAAATATTTTCAAATGAGCTCCAATTCACATTTGGCTAAGCCCCGCCCCCCTTAGTTACTGTTGCTACATCCGTCAAACTTCATCTGCGCTCTGCGTGGCTTATGCTGTAACAGCTTATCCTGCTGAAATGTTATCAAACTTTTATAAAGCAGCAAATAGAAGAAGGCAATATGCGTTCGAAGGCTATATTCAAGACATACAGGTGAAACGCAATCAACAACAAGGCATCCAAAATAGAGGCAAAAGCATAACGTTAGCGGTCACAGTCAAAAAAATGAACCACCGCATTTCCTACTAATCGAGACGGAGGCTGGGACTAACAATAGGGAGCAATGCAAGCTAGGTAGGGCTCTATTCACTTCTATAATCGTTATTACAAAGCAAACGGACTCGTTACACGAGTATAACGTTGTATTTATTAGCAGCGTGTGCTAGCGTGTCAACAACCGGTAAAAACATTATAAAACGGTCTAACTAGCATAACTTCACACTCACAGTAAGATTAGAAGTAGGGGTGGGCGATATGGAAAAAATATCATATCACGATTTTTTTAGGAAAATCACGATCACGATTTTTTATCACGATTCTTTTTCAAGTTGGTTTTAATATTTTGCAAGTGGCTGTTCATTACAGCCAAACTAATGTCCTTATGTTAAAAACAAAGCCTTAGGTATCAAAGGCATACATTTAGGCCAGTGGCGAAGATAAAAATCTTTGTCATTATTTTCTTTGTTATTAAAAAAATAAGACAAGATAAACATTACACAAATTAATATTCAAATTAAATAAATAGTGCTTTATTTTTCAGATGCACTAGGTGTATTTAGCAGTAGCATTGAAGAAAGTAATTAAATTAAACAAATATGAAATTAAAACACTACAGAGACTTCACTGAATGAATCGATTCTTATTAAAGCTACTATTAAAGTTCTCAGTCAGTGAGTGATTTTCTCCTTGTGTTTTTTTTTTTTTTTTTACTAAAGAGATAGTTCCCTCAAAATGAAAATGGTCTTAATTTACTCTCTCAAGATGTTTTAAACCTGAATAAGTTTCTTCCTTCTGTTGAAAATAAAAGTTATTTTGAATAATGTGGGTAACCGAACAGTTGCTGGTCCCCCTATAGTTTTTTTTAATAGGTTCTCTCCTGAAAGTTAATGGGGACCAGCAACTGTTTGGTTACCCACATTAAAAAAAATCGTCTTTTGTGTTCAGCACAAGAAAGAAATTAATAAAGGTTTGTAACAACATTAGAATGAGTAAATAATGACAGATTATTTTTTTTTTTTTGTGAACTATCCCTTTAAGGACATGCGGCAGTACTATTTATTCCTGTCGCTTTTAGACCAGCACGCGACGCGTTTAATATAGACGCATATTACACCAGATATTCTCTCAAATGTTTGCTTTCACTTTATACATAGCCTGTTTATGTACACATTGTGTGTATTTAACAGTATTAGCATAATAAGACTCGAAAGATAACTTAGTCCAGTATTCAGGCGCTGTTTGACAGGCTTCTAGTGCCTGCATGTGATTGTCGTGGGTATATGCGCTCAGGAAAGCGCACGTTAGAACAGCGCATCAGCGCGTGAATTAAATGTTTAACCGGATGTTTAAATGTTTAAAATTATGACGGTAATAGCCTGCCGAGACCAAAAGTATGAGACGCCTGTGTTGAAAGTCAATGGAGCGCTGTGAAAAAGTGTCCGAGCTCGTTCTTGGCTGCACTGTGATTGGTCAATCTACATTCTAGGGCGTGGCTTAGCCAAAGGCGAATTAGAACTCAACAGTGAGGATGATTCATGGCCAGTGATTTATGTATGAGTCTGGAGCTGGGCTGACCTTGGCTGTGTCGTTGTCCTCTCCAGGCACAGGTTCAAGATTGGGCCATTTTTGCTTGATACAGTCCAGCATCTCCTGAAAGCTCACCATCATCTTGAAGTTCCATCTGTTCCCTACAGACACAGCCAATGTGTGTAAAGATGCTTTAACAAAATACATTTTACTATGTAGAAATGGTTTCTCCAAACATGGACTACATGGAAGATGTGAAAAACAGAGATTTTTCACCTGGAGCCAAATTGCGTTGGGGTAAAAATGACTTTAAAAAGATTATTTTTAACATTATTTTATTTTTACACAGAGATTGGAAGGTCTATTAGTAATATCTGTTTACATTAGCAATCTTTGTTGTGTTATACACCGACGGTGACAGTTCAAAAATGAAGAAAAGCACGTTTGGTGTTTTCCCCCCAAAGGCCCCGTCAAATTGTAATTTGACCCCCCCCCCCCCCTCCCCCTCTACAAAATAGTGGATTACTCCATAAATATACATCCATGACATTTAATTTAACTATGGTCACTATTTATGTTTGTTTTTCTTCAGAAATAAAACCAAAAATATGAGCCGGGTAGTTTCCAAAACGTTGGTTGATTTGACACAGAATGACCCTGTAATCAAAAGGCAAAGTGTGAAGAAAGATATTAATAATTAACTCAACCTTGGAGAGTTTCACCACAACTGCAACTACAAAACAAGAAAGAAATGAATCTCTCTCTTAATTAACTCTCTCAACTTTTCAATGAACAAGTGCAATTAAAATGCAACAGTTCAAAACAAGCCTTTTTTGTTCATTAAGTTGGAGTCACATTCATATATCACTTTGAGCCACTGTTTCCACACCTCACAAACGGCTCTATTGATCACAGTATGCATGACTTAAATGATTCTTGGCCTTAAACATCACCAGAATCTGGACTGTGTTGCATGTTATGAATATCATAAATCAAAGTGTCACTGACCTGGAAAGATAATAATCTGCATTACTAATCGTATTAGAGCAACCTTTGCCATTATCCCACAACCTGTAACAAGTGTACACTGACTTCAGCTCACATAATCTTACCATCAAACGGCATGTACTCGATGAATCTCACATCCAATGGTTTCCTCTCTGTTAGAGACACAAAGTCAACCAACTCGTCTTCATTCAGACCTCTCATGACCACACAGTTCACCTGAGAACACAGTTATATAGTTATATAGTAGTGTTTTTTTCTATAGAGTTACCCACATTTTTCAAAATATCTTCTTTTGTGTTCAGTAGAAGAAAGAAATTCAGGTTTGAAACAACTTAAGGGTGAGTAAATGACACAATTTTCATTTTTGGGGTGAACTTTAAGAAAATATTAATATTAACAACAAAAAAAATATTTTTAATTAATGTTAAAAATACTAATATTAACAAAAACATTTGGTTCCTTTTAACATTTTAATTATTTTTATTAACAAAACTTTTGCACTTTTTGAAGCTGTAACCTTTGATCATATCATACATCAAGAAGGATTGTAAAACCCCATGTTTTGAGACAGGTACGTTACCTTGACTGGATCGTAGCCCATTTCAATAGCCTCTTCAATGCCTTCTCTCACTTTATGAAACCCTGCAGGTGACACCGATATTGGGCGTCAATTAGAAAGTGTTGTAGGCAAGACCATTTAAAATAATGGTGACTTTCAGAGCTACAGCTAAATTCCATAGCCATATATATTTCAATCTATTTTCTAGTAAAAACATGCAGTCCAACAGTCTCTGGAATCATTTTGTATCAGTTAGTTGTCACAATACTGCTATTGTAAAGCTGAAATACTAAATGAATGATTGAAATACCCGTCAAAGTCCGACACAATGTTTCACTCGACAGCTTCTAATTAGAACTTGTTCATTTGGCGAAGACAAACGTTTTGACACAATGTAACAAGACTTTGGGTTAGAGTTATGTAACACACCCTACTGATGTGTTTCTGCAATGTGTTTTGATTCTGAAATGAGAACATTTTGCACCGACTGCACATCTTCACAATCCTGTTGTTAATAATTATATATGTTTGATATCAACAATTAGGGCTCTGTGAAATCGATTTTATTTTTTCCCAAATTCCGTTCGCTTTTTCCGTTTACATTTTTTCTAACTCAATTTTAGTGATTAAATTAAATTTTAATTTAAAAAAAATGTCTCACTAATATACAATTTATTTATTTTTATTAAAAGTTCTAAAAATTACATATTCAGGGCCTTATGAAATACATTTTATTTTTTACCAAATAAAAATTAATTTTTTTCTGGTTTCCATTTTATTTTTTAATGATCAAAAAGCATGTCTAATTAATAGAAAATTTGTTAATTTAAAAATAAAATTTAATTTCTAAGAAAATTAAAAAAAAAAATTATTTAAAAAATTCTGTGTTGTGCATTTTAATTTTCCTGGCAATCAAATGAAGGCATAAAACATTAATTTAATCATATGCACAAAAAAGGTTTTAATAATAATTTATTATTATTAGTGTTGGTATTATTATTACATTGAGACATGGCTAAATTCTACTGTACTCAGTGTGTGCGTGTGTGTGTGCTAACGAGTCTCTCTGTGTCTCGGTGTGTGTGTGGTGCTAACAAGTCTCTGTGTCTCAGTGTGTGTCTACCTGAAAATTTGGCACATTTTAAAGATAAATGCATTAATCTGGTGCACTCCGCACGTCATTATGGAACGTTATCTGGCTCAAAATTAGGTGGTAAAAAAAAATCCAGATCATGTCTACACATGAAAGTGTACCGCGCCTTCAACTGGCTGAAAAAAAACACTTTTTTACAAGCATGTTTTTTTTTTTTTTTAGGTATTTTAATAATCAGATTTTATTTACAGTTGGGTTGTAACATTCATTTAGGGAACCTTTTTTAAGAAATTGAACATACTTGGATGGAAAATAAACAATTTACCTGAATGTTCCCCAATTCACAAAAAGACAATGCTCTTTGACATTCACTATTTATTTTTTTTTTGTAAACTGCCTCTGCTATCAGTAACTGTAATGTGATTACTTCTTGACACCATTTGACGGAGGCGGACGCCTCATAATTGTCTATGCAGGAAAAACCCTGCTTAAGTTTTTGTGTGTTTTTGATATGACGATAGTTTTTCTCAAATTTTCACAAACTCGAGTTCGGATATTGGTGTTATATTCCAGTGACTGATCAACGGCACCTTTTCGTCTAGCGATGAACTCAAATTTGGCGGGGACGAGTGTGTCCAGGCTGATGTTGAGCAGATCCACTCCAGCTTTCTTCAAACCGGGCAACAGCCGGCTCAGATTCATGCCGTTTGTGGTGACTGCGATGGTCTTCAGACCCTCCAACTTCCTCAATTCCGCTTTCAGAAAGCAAAAAAAGCAAAAAAATAAACTATTTAAAGTTTAATTAGCATTTCTGACTGCAACATCATTTTGGCGTGCATGTTTTTCAGAATATTCACCAATAAGCGTGAAACATGCAGTACATGCTCTGTGTAATCATTTTGTAATTTTCCTTTTTAAAACCAGAAATTAAATATGCAAGATGCGATTCATTCCTTTTTTTAACACTGATTCATAGAATTAGCAGATACAAGATCATTTGTCATATACAATATGAAATATTCCATATATTAAAGATAATATACATTAAATAAAACTTGTTAAATGTGTTAAAGGGGTCATGAACTGGCTTTTTACATTTTTTTATACTGTTCGCTTTGTTTTTACATTAAAAAACATCAAAATGAATAAGTAATAGGCTATTTTCTACCCTAGTTTTGAGCCTAGCTGAAAAACGCTGGGTTTTTATGGGCGTCTCGCACTGAAGACTTGGAAGTAAATGCCCACTGCTGTGAGTGGATAACAGTTTTGCATATTATAATGAGTAACTCACTCGTCAGTGCATATTTATTGCTCAGTATCTCGATCCGGTTTGTCGTCACGAGGTAGGCATCTATGTTATTTAGCTATGCGTGTAATGCGCGATTCGGTGGGCGGGGCTAAACCCGCCGTGTTGAAGTAGGCGTTAATCTTCTTTTATCCTCTTTGACGTCATAGTTCCCCACTTTGAAAAACGAGTCGTTTGCTGAACCTGGTGTCAATAAAAGCTTTACTTGGACTAACAAGGACGTTTTCAGTTGTGAAATTTAGCATATTCTTATAATATGATGACCTCTTAGATGTCAAAAGCTCAAGGAAAATTTGATTTCTCAGTTCATCACCCCATTAAATTTAATTTCTAGTGTTTTTTCCTCAATGCACATGTGCTAAAAGTATCTTTAGTCTCTTAGTTAAAATATCCACAGTACATTAAAAGTACGAACTGATCATTTCTGAATTGCAGACATTCCGACATGCAAAATAAGATGTCTATATCACTACTGTTTTGTGATTCAAAGTTAGCAAGCATTTACAAAGCTAATAGATGGTGTAAAACGCACCTATGATATGCAGCGCGTCCGGGCGAATGAGAGGCTCTCCTCCAGTCAGCCGGATCTTGTTCACCCCCTGTCGTACGAAGAGTCTGGCTAGCGTCAGTAGCTCCTCTGTTGTTAGGAGCTGAGAGCGAGGGCTGAGCTTTACTCCTTCTTGTGGCATACAGTACTGACCTGAGAAATACAGAAACTAATCATTACTGATACTTAACTCTTGACTTAAAGAGACAAGTTTGGCCTAGAGGTCACATATTCACAACAATAACAAAGATTATTATTTGCTTGATGATGCCGTGAAGGAGCGTGGAATCATGGGAGTTGTCGTCGTCGTCGTCTTCATCAGTCCATGGATGAGCTTTATGTTTTATCAACGTTACATTTGATCATCTAAATTTACATTTTTGTATGAAAATATACATTTGTATCAATATTTAAGAGAAATAATTTATTTATTTTGTATATTTTGAATATAAAAATATACATTTTTAATTTAATATATTTTACTTTATTTATAGAAATTTATTTTGAATATATCATTAGATTAAACTGATAAGAACATTTAATATGAGAATTACCAGTGTGAACTCCATTGACTTCAATTACATTTATATGAAACTTATAACTAATGACTGCTCAAAACGGCACCTACATATTATTTTACTAACAAAAGAACACTAAAACAAAATCAATATTACTAGGAAATGCTGTTAAATGAAGAAAATTCATTTAATTTGCATATACTTTTATGAAAGTGAATGATGATGAATCTGCTTTTCATGCTGCAGTGGTTCTTCAATAAATTTGTGGACTTTTTCTTTTCCAAAACCAAGACTATAGACTATATGGTGTATGAACATTTGCTCTACAAACACACTTGGACATTGATCTGTTTTTGTCATTTAATTCAATTTCAAAATTATTGTTTGTGTTTTCTTTGTGCAAGCATATTTATAAGGAAAACACAGGACCAATGGGAAGGAAAAAAATTGTGTGAGTGAAAAATAAATAAATAAATCGACATTATTTCAATTCTTTTACACAGAAAGAACACTTTAAGAAGGGACAGGAGCGGGTGATTCATGTCATTATGCATGGAGGAGGGGCTAATTAGCATAATTATGAAGCCGATGTCTTTCTACAAAGCATGCAGTATATGAGAGACTTACAGCGGAGGTTACATTTCTCAGTGAGGGATATGCGAAGGTAATTATGCCTCCGTCCAAAAGAGTCGGTCAGAAATGCTGAGAAAGGCAGGACGTCCTTCAGGACTCGTCGATGACCACCTGGAACCACAAGCTCTCGGACCTGCCGAACACATGATCAGATCAGCACAACAAAACAGTTATTATCATCCACACTTACATTACTTTATATAAACACCAAAATGATGATATCCCAGTAACTGAGCAGATTGTGAAATACTCAGACCGGCCTGTCTGGCACCAACAACCATGCCACGCTCAAAATATTATATATATATATATATATATATATGACCATTTTGCAAGATGTAAACAACACTGGTCCAGAAACACTTCCTGTTTCAGTTTGTAACTGTTTTCTTTATTTCACATGTAGAGAAAACATCTTAAAGATGTTGTTTAACTTTTTGATTCAGTTTTACATGTTCTGTTGGTTGTATTTTATCCCAGCTTTTATGTATTGTTAAAGAACTGAAACAGGAAGTGCTTCTGGACCAGTGTTGTTTACATCTTGCAAAATGGTCTATATATATATACACTCACCGGCCACTTTATTAGGTACCCCATGCTAGTAACGGGTTGGACCCCCTTTTGCCTTCAGAACTGCCTCAATTCTTCGTGGCATAGATTCAACAAGGTGCTGGAAGCATTCCTCAGGGAGTTTGGTCCATATTGACATGATGGCATCACACAGTTGCCGCAGATTTGTCGGCTGCACATCCATGATGCGAATCTCCCGTTCCACCACATCCCAAAGATGCTCTATTGGATTGAGATCTGGTGACTGTGGAGGCCATTTGAGTACAGCGAACTCATTGTCATGTTCAAGAAACCAGTCTGAGATGATTCCAGCTTTACGACATGGCGCATTATCCTGCTGAAAGTAGCCATCAGAAGTTGGGTACATTGTGGTCATAAAGGGATGGACATGGTCAGCAACAATACTCAGGTAGGCCGTGGCGTTGCAACGATGCTCAATTGGTACCAAGGGGCCCAAAGAGTGCCAAGAAAATATTCCCCACACCATGACACCACCACCACCAGCCTGAACCGTTGATACAAGGCAGGATGGATCCATGCTTTCATGTTGTAGACGCCAAATTCTGACCCTACCATCCGAATGTCGCAGCAGAAATCGAGACTCATCAGACCAGGCAACGTTTTTCCAATCTTCTATTGTCCAATTTCGATGAGCTTGTGCAAATTGTAGCCTCAGTTTCCTGTTCTTAGCTGAAAGGAGTGGCACCCGGTGTGGTCTTCTGCTGCTGTAGCCCATCTGCCTCAAAGTTCGACGTACTGTGCGTTCAGAGATGCTCTTCTGCCCACCTTGGTTGTAACGGGTGGTTATTTCAGTCACTGTTGCCCTTTTATCAGCTCGAACCAGTCTGGCCATTCTCCTCTGACCTCTGGCATCAACAAGGCATTTCCGCCCACAGAACTGCCGCTCACTGGATGTTTTTTCTTTTCCGGACCATTCTCTGTAAACCCTAGAGATGGTTGTGCGTGAAAATCCCAGTAGATTAGCAGTTTCTGAAATACTCAGACCAGCCCTTCTGGCACCAACAATCATGCCACGTTCAAAGACACTCAAATCACCTTTCTTCCCCATACTGATGCTCGGTTTGAACTGCAGGAGATTGTCTTGACCATGTCTACATGCCTAAATGCACTGAGTTGCCGCCATGTGATTGGCTGCTTAGAAATTAAGTGTTAACGCGCAGTTGGACAGGTGTACCTAATAAAGTGGCCGGTGAGTGTATATATAATCCTCAGTACTGACATTTAAAGGGGACCTATTATGCCCCTTTCACAAGATAGAATATAAGTTTCTGATGTCCCCAGAACACCAGAATATGTCTGTGAAGTTTCAACTCAAAATATTTTGCGTATTTTTTTTTTTTTTATTATTTTTTTTGCATAATAGGTCCCCTTTAAAATAACCATTCAGCTAATAAGGTTTTTTTTTTTATTTTTTTTTTACCTTAGCTGGGCAAAGTCCATATATCAAAGGAGTATTTCTGTTATAATTTTTGAAAAACAAGTTATATTGTACAAATATGTGATATTTAGACTTACAGCCTATTATGAGACGATTTTCTTCATTCTTTAGGCCACTGACCAGTTTGAGTAAACTCTTCTGACAATGGAGAATGCATAACGGTTTTTCATGTTATATATCACGTTACATCCATGACTGATCTGTCTGGTTTGGTACTTTAGTGACGGTCTTATGACCCAACTATTGTAAAGAAAGAACCATTTATAATGTGTCACACTTTCAAACCGTTATATTCAGCACTCACTTATGAAGCATACACGAGACCTTGTGCATGTTAGATAGATAGCCTTAATCTTTTTTATGTAACATTATTGTTTTGACAATCTTTTTTTTTTCAATTTTACATATCCTTATTATTTTTTATTTTTTTTATTGCAAATTAAAGAAAACATACAATAACAGCAAACAGAAGAGAAAAAATAAAATAAATAATACAATAACAATAAGAGAGGGGTTACAGACATCAAAATAGACTGCATTAAGTTATACAAAACAATACAATATTACAATTTGTTAAAATAACAAAATTAAAGGTTCTTTACAACAGACTCAAGAATATTATGTGTTCTAGACAACTTAGAGTTTAATGATTTTTAAAGATATTTAAAGGAAGAAAAAATGGACTTTATATCAGATGAGAACATTCTGTTTTGACAATCATTCATTTTTAAATGTGACTTATATTTCCAAATATTTTTGAGGCTACTTTATACACATGACAATACTTTATATTACGCTAACAGAAAATAAACAACTCATAGTAGCCTATATACAAAGTAACAGCGATCACACATCAACAAACCCGAAAAACGGTAACGTACAAATGTTGTCACGTGAAAACAGACATATTAGAAAGTCAGACTGTGGGATGTTAGCCGAATGCAAGAGTTACAATCTCAAACACAATCAGATAATAATTTGTGACGTTCACGCTTTTAAGTTTTAAAATATGCAATTTTAAGACATGTATTATATCTTACCTGTGGAGTTGTGTCAGAGTCTGACACACACACCTGCTCCAGTCTATTCTCTTCAGGAGTGACACTGGAATACCTTCTTCGACACACTCTGTATCTCCCACATGTGTGTTGAAGTGCCCGCTGTGCGCAGGCCTCAGCCGCGGTGTGAGCTCCAGAGATAAGCCGACTGAATGTGCCGCAGTTTAATGCCATCATAACAGCACTAATGACAGTCTGTGACTGTGCTGAGACTGGCACATTATCGAGCGGCTTGTGGCTGCGTTAAACTTGACTTGTAGTTCAAGGAACAACCGTGAGGGGGCGTGTCTTTCCACAACCAATCAACGTCGAGGAAAATATACCTAAACTCCGGGAAATGTAGTTTTTCGATTGTGAACTACGAACGCAAATAAAAAAGGGATTTTGACTCGAGTCATAAGTCGAGTAGGCTAAAACATAGGCTACCTAACCAGTGTTACACATATTAAAAGCCACCAGAGATGGTAGTGGTGGTGTTTGTCTTGTTCATGCTCAGCTACTGTGTGTCTTCATGGATGCCATTCCGGTAAGCATAAAGTGTTGATAACAATTTCACAGTGCTTTGGACTTTGAGCTCACATGACACAGTTCAAGTTCAACATGATGTTGATCACATGCAGATGCATAAACACCCAAGAGAAACTGTCTATCAAGCGACGAGAATACTTTTTGTGGGCTGCAGACTTACGTGTTTGGTTGTGTGGGCCATGTATTGGAAAAGGATGGGAACCACTGATATGAAATATGTACATTTTCATTTTTGGGTGAACTATCCCTTTAAGATCTTATTGATTTCCATTACAGATCTGTTTTTGGTCATATCAGCAACTGCACCATGAGAGATGAACAAATAAACATTTCTCGAAAGCCTGATGTAGTAGGCTTTATTTGTAATTCTTTAAATATTTAGGCTTTTATTATTGATTGCGTTATTGAGTTTAAAACATTTTTGTACCTAGTGAACCGGAAGAGTTAAACATCTCCAGCACTCCAGTAAGCTCTCATATTTCAAAAGAACCATTCCTAATATGTTTATAATCATTTTAGATTATAGGCCTACCTCACCGTAAAAAAATGTTTTCAAGATTTGTCATCACAACATATTTTCTTTTGTCAAATCAACTTTATAATAATTTATTTAGTTGAGATAACTTATTATTTTGAGTTTCTGGTGGTTAAATTAATCTACTTCATTGTATTAACTCACTTTTTCCAGTTCAATCAACTCAAAATTTTAAAGCAACCCAGGTTACTTACTTTTTTAAGTTAAACCAACAATATTTTTTTACAGTGTAGTAATCACAACATTTTTTTCTTTTGTCAAATCAACTTAAATAATTTATTTAGTTCAGATAACATATATTTTGAGTTTCTGATGATTAAATTAATCTACTTCATTGTATTAACTCACTTTTTCCAGTTCAATCAACTTAAAATTTTAAGGCAACCCAGGTTACTTACTTTTTTAAGTTAAACCAACAATATTTTTTTACAGTGCTTTATTGATTATAAACAGCAATGTTGAACGTAGAAAAATGTCATAAGCATATATGTAACACTCTTTAACCACTAAGTGGCAGTATAACTCCATTGTGAAGTGGCTATTTCTGCCTGATGACTGTTAATACATTTTAAATACTACCATTTCGTTGTCCTTAGTGCAATGTAGGCCAATATACTGTATATATGGCCAATAATATATAAATGTTATATGAGCACTGCATGAGGGAGTACTGGATTTTCCTGAAACCGACATTAGACTATCAGTAGCCTATTTTAGATTTGAAATACATAAAATTCAGAACTCACATCACTGGTATAGCCGTCCTTGACTTACATTGAGTAACTTATTTGAGTTGTTTTACCACATAATTTCAGTCTTACCATAGAATTAGCACTTTCTAAAGTAAATGTTGCTCAAACCAGCATACTGGAAACACTGCAATATTCCAGTGTTGAAATCAACTATTGAGAATATCACACAGTTCAACATCGGGCCATCATCACTGTTATTCAAGTGTTCAAGTCATTTTAGCAGTGAGTCTTGGAGCTGAGAATTATCTGAAAAAGCGTAATTCTTAAAGCAATAAATCTGAAATGAGGGGGGAAATGTAGTTTGATCACAATTGTTTATCATAGTTTATAATGTGCAATAATTCTGTACACAGAATACACATCTCCGATGTAAACAGATATATTTATTTCAAAATAAAAGATTTCCACACATACACATGAATTTGGCCTAAAGCTCAACACACAAATGCAAAACAGCCATCAATGTTTTTAAATGGACTCAACTCTTACCAAAATCTCAAACTTGGCAAATCACTTTCAACCTCGTACATAATCAATACAAAACTTGATCAGGTGAAATGAGACAATGGGTCATCCATTCATAATAATAGGCTAATGCAAGATAATGAATGCAAACCAAAACATCAGTCCGGACATTTGAAATGTATGTGTATAGAGTGACTCTTCAAGTGAAATTAAACCCCCAAATTACACGTTTATTTATTTATTTTACATAAAGTGCTGCTTGCTAAATCTCGATAACCAGACCTACAGCAAAAAGCGTCGATGACCTATGAACAGAAAGTGTAAAACTGAATGTACATGCTTCATGTTTCCTTTACGTCTTCATCCCCCTTAATGAAATTTATCAAAACAAATATAATTGATGTCTTAAATTGTCATTTATACTACTGCAATGGATAAAGCAAAACCGGTTAAGATGATGAATAAATCTGCATCTTTGATTGTGTGCAGAAACGAGAGATGAATGAATAACTGATAAAGCATAAAGCAAGTTCATTCAACCTTCTTGTGATTGGTCGAACACAGAAGCACCACACTGCAACAATGAGATATCCAACAAACCCAAAACACTGTGCACAAATAAATAAATGCACAAGCAAAATACGACTATCCAAAAATACCACTTTGGAAATGTTTTTATTATCATTATAATAAACTTAAATTACCAGAGGAACAAACACTGCTTTACATATTGCTGTTTTTGTAGGTTGTTTTCTGTCTTTCAACAGTTAAAGCAATAAAAAAGAGAGAAAATACAGACCGATAAGCAGAAAGCTGTACAGATGGCTTGCTCAAAAATACACAGGGTTCAAAAGACCGACAGAGAACAGTTTACAGCACACTGTCTTTCTTTTTTTCTTTTTTCTATTTTTTTGGTATTAAATTGTTTCTTGCAACTAGAATCTCTCACAAACACTGAACTCGTCTCTTATAGATCCTTGAAAGTTCCTGACATAAATAAGCAACAAAGTCCTTCAAAAAGTCCCCGTTTGCGTACTGTACAACAAAATACTCCCATTCACCTTCAGTTATTATCCGACTGAGGCGACGGTAACCTCGAGATCGCTCTTTTTCCAAAGAAAAATATTGCGTCTGATTCCTTACTTTCAATATCACTCTGCATTCCCCGTTTATCACTGTAAGGAATGGCGTCTTACTCGATTGTAACGTTGCTGACAAAGTGCATCTGTTCTCAAAGCCAGCCAGTGTTTCAGGGAGAAGTGCTCATGTGGCTGATATCATTGATTCGGTTTGACCCGTACCCTGAAAAAAAGGGCCAGTCGAGACATAAAAGTACAAAAGTAATACATAGTTTGCTCCTTTCTTCTTTTTTATTATTCGAAAACCACAGTGTGCGCCAATACAAAAGCGGTATTGCCATGTCAGGGTTAGAGGCGGAGCCTAATATGGCTGGAGTTTCCCTCATGTACACCGTTATATTCTGCGTGCAATTGCTTCTAGTAATGCTTGTATGGCTCACAGACAAAAATCCCTGACAGTAGATTCGCTGATGCTATAAAGTGTACGTTTTTTCTCTGTACTTTACATAACAGAAGCTATGTAAATTTGGCAAATTGTCTTAGTGCTTGTGCCGCATATACAAAACATCAACAAAGGTCAGCATTTTATTACACAAGATGGTTCTTTCGACACTCAGCAGTCAGGCTCATCCAGTGAACCCCTTAATATTATAAACAGCAAGAGACAAAACACGATGCGACAATATTCACACGTCACACAAACACGAGGATAATGACGTTTTGGGGGCGTAGTGTCCAATGTCGGATTCTGTACCTATCAAGAACGCAATTTTCAAGCAATCCCCCCTCATTAGTCGAGGTCTTCCGAACAGGCGATCTTTTCCTCTTCGTTACAAAACCCCACCACGTACATTTAAACGACGACGACAAAAACTCTCTTCGAATAAAACGAGCGAATTAGCCCTTCAGGGTTCTCGGCTAGTCCCACGGGAACGAGGAAAGTCCAGTTCTCCGGTTCACAGCGCCAGCAGGGTGGGCGAGTTGAGTGAATCTGAGGACTGGTCGCCGCTGCTGCTGCTCCGCCGGTGGGCTTTGGAGCAGGACTCGGACGAGGGCGATGGGCTCTCGGGCTCCAGCATGCTGGGGTACGTGAAGATGAGGCTGGGGTGGTTCGGGGTGGACACCGGGGTAGAAGCGGCCACTACAGGAGTGTTCAGACTGTCTCCGTCAGAGCAGTACATGCCTCCGCCTAGACAGATGGGCTTGATGACTGAGTGCTGGGTTTTTGCTTCATCCTCATCGTCGTCGTCATCTTCCAGAGGCTCCTGTTTGACCACCACCGGGTTGAGGGTATGCATCGGGCCCCGGGGCCCCAGGTTGGAGCGCATGGTCAGAGGAAGGGGTGCACATTGCTGGGAGTGCAGGTTTTGATGGCGTTCTTCGAGGGGAAGTTTGCACACAGGGTTGTGCGCCACCAACATAAACTCCAGCTTGTCCTTTTCCTTCTGCAGGGTCTCGATTTCTTTCTGGAGGTCGGCTTTCTCCTCCTCCAACTTCTCGGTTTCCTTGAATGAAAAAAAGAAATCCAAAGAATGATTATGCTGCATTTTGCCTGGTATTCTTTTGGCTTGGTGGTTTCTAACCTAACCCTAGTCAAGACCCCTTCCCCAAACGTCTATATTCAGGACTTTAACGTAAGCCTATACGAGGGCTGCACCAGGGTTGGGTTTCCTGCCTAATTGGGTTACTTTGTGAAACATCAAAGTAGTAGTTGGCGTCAAAGCTGGGCAGAAAGCTCTTCGATTTTATCCCAAAAATATCTTCTTCATTAGTGTTCCAAAGATTAACAATAGTCTGTTGGGTTTGGAACGACAATAGGGTGAGTAAATGATGACAGAATTTTCCTTTTTGGGTGAACCATGCCTTTAAAGGTTTGACATATTGAAATTCTTGTATTGACATATTTTATATTCTACCAATCAAGTCAAGTCCAGTATAGTGCTTTTCACAATATAGATCATCAAAGCAGCTTCACAGTATCAATCAAAACATAATAACAATGTGCTTAGTGGAAAATTATCCACGTTTGGTAGAGCTGATCAATGGTATTAATGATTGGTTAATTCATTTGAATATCCCCAACCCATTGCCATTGGTGACCCAATGGGGTCCTAAAACTCCATCAAGTGACCCAATGGGGTCCTAAAACTCCATCAAGTGACCCAATGGGGTCCTAAAACTCCATCAGGCGACCCAATGGTGTCTTAAACTCCATCAGGCGACCCAATGGTGTCCTAAAACTCCATCAGGCGACCCAATGGTGTCCTAAAACTCCATCAGGCGACCCAATGGTGTCCTAAAACTCCATCAGGCGACCCAATGGTGTCCTAAAACTCCATCAGGCGACCCAATGGTGTCCTAAAACTCCATCAGGCGACCCAATGGTGTCCTAAAACTCTGTCAAGTAACCCAATTGTGTCCTAAAACTCCATCAGGCGACCCAATGGTGTCCTAAAACTCTGTCAAGTAACCCAATGGTGTCCTAAAACTCCATCAGGTGACCCAATGGTGTCCTAAAACTCCACCAGGTGACCCAATGGTGTCCTAAAACTCCATCAAGTGATCCAATGGTGTCCTAAAACTCCATCAAGTGACCCAATGGTGTCCTAAAACTCCATCAAGTGATCCAATGGTGTCCTAAAACTCCATCAAGTGATCCAATGGTGTCCTAAAACTCCATCAGGCGACCCAATGGTGTCCTAAAACTCCATTAAGTGACCCAATGGTGTCCTAAAACTCCATCAGGCGACCCAATGGTGTCCTAAAACTCTGTCAAGTAACCCAATGGTGTCCTAAAACTCCACCAGGTGACCCAATGGTGTCCTAAAATTATCTAACATCAAGCACAGTCAATGATACAACTGTGCTAGATGTTAAGTTTTGTGATCACTACACTAATAGTGGTTTTCATTTGTCATAAAAGTGACTGTTTTGGGTATGTGAAAGTCATATTTTGAGTTGTAATATCATTGGGTTATTTTTGATTGGCCTGTTATGGCTTAGTGTAATCATAAAAACGCAAACGTTTTCCAGATTTGACTCTCAGAACACTTTAGCACTATTAAAGGAACGCCCACTTATAAACGCAAGCAAGCATTTCCCAAATAAATTGAAGCTGTTCACATTCCTTTGTAACACGGAAGGCTTGACACAAAAACAAGTGTTTCGAAACCACCGTCCAAACCTCCAGAAAGTTCAAAGACTGATGTGACTAGATTGTCAAAGATAAGATTCATTAATTTGGCTATGAGGAAGAAGGAAACCAGAATGAAAGCAAATGCTAAATTTGCAAAGAAAGAAACTCATTAGAAGAAAGGCTCTAGTTATTGTCGCAGGAGACACGGTTCCTTATTTGGTGAGGAATGAGAGAGTGGGGGGAAGGGATGAGGGAAGATAGCAGTGAGTGGGGTTTGATGGTTAGCTGCGGTTTCCTTTTCCAACAATATCAGATGTTTGCTTCGCTCCAACCCCCTGTAGCACATTCTTCCCTCGTGTTTCAGGTCTGACAGCCAGCGAGATGCCATTAGAAAGCTATGTAGTTCAATTACGGCCAGCATTGTCTGGGACTCGGGGCATTCCCGAGCCTGCCAGACAACACTGGTCTTCTGTGGTCGTGAAACGTGTCTTCTTATGGCGAATAAACCACTGAGAATTGCATGGAAATAAGTACAATATTTGTGGGCAGTTCATTTGGGGTATTTGGTAAACATGTTTCCCATTGTGTATAAAATGTGTGTGTGTTTGTGAAGGCATTAGAAAGCTCACCCCTTGCAGCATATCGGTCAGTTCTCTTCTGCGGTTCCGACATTTTGCCGCCGCTAGTTTGTTTCTTTCTCGCCTGACTCTCCGTTTTTCTTCTTCCTCGGGGGTGAGCTGCAGATAGAACTAGGAGTGAGATTTCCCAGTTGTTTGTCAGAAATCTTTGTGATTTGAAAAAAAAATCAATCCTTGCATTTTAGATAAAAAGTCATTTGCTTATGAAGTCGGGGCGATTGGGACACTTTTTGCCATTAAATGGATCGTTCACTTTAAAATACATTTTCGGTATGTTTTAGCTTACCTCACACAAGATGTAGGTGTCTTTGTTTGCGCAGTAGTTTCAATATTGATATTGTTAGGTCAAACCGTTCTTGTCTGTCAGTCATATAATGGAGGTCTATGGTCACCACCTCAAAGAGCATGCACAGAGAAGTCAAAATTAAACATGATGTAATGACTCGTAAATGCAAGTACACATTGATGGCCTAAGACACGAAACAAACGGTTTGGACGTGGCTGTGGTTACAAGAGTTAAAAACGATATAAATACTGTTGGTTTTCTCACACAAACTGCTCGTTTCGTGTCTTAGGCCATCAATGTGTACTTACATTTACGAGTCATTAAATCGTGTTTAATCTGGACTTCTCTGCACTCTTAGAAGAAAAGGTTCTATATAGAACCTTAAAAGGTTCTATCAGCGCTACATATTTGGAACCCCTAAAAGGTTCTATACGCTCTTAAAAGGGTTCCTCTGGGTTCTATATAGAACCCTGGGGTTCCATACTTGGCCAATAGAACCTTTTACCAAAAAAAATGGTTCTATATAGAACCATTTTGGAGTTCCATATATGAAGCGGGGGATGGAACCATTTTTGGTTCTTAAATAGAACCATTTCTTCTAAGAGTGTGTGCATGCTCTTTGAGGTGGTGACCATAGACCTCCATTATATGACTGACAGACAAGAACGGTTTGACCTAAAAATATCAAAATTGAAACTACTGTGGAAACAAAGACACCTACATCTTGGATACCCTTGAGGTAAGATAAAACATACCAAACATTAATTTCAAAGTGAACTATACCTTTAAGATGACTTGGAAAAACTCTCCTAATCGACCTGAATTCACCATAAAGATTGTTTCAAAGCAGCTGCACAGTAATAAAACAAGAGCACAACATATTAATGTTGCAAAATGATGAAACAAACAACATTTTTGCTGTAAATCCACTCCAAAAAGTGTCATAATTCAATGATTCAATAGATGTTAAAAAACACTTTGCAATAATAAGCTTCATTGGTTAACATTAGTTACCTAACATGAACAATATTAAATCTTGGTTAAATTAATTTCAACATAAACAAATACATCATTAAAATCAAAGATTAGTAAATGCACTGTGAACTACTAACATCAACAAAGATTAGTAAATACTGTAACAAATGTATTGCTCATTGTTAGCTAACGCATTAACTAATGAACCTTATTGTAAAGTGTTTTTGTACAATACGTTAAAGGCTAACCTGCTCATCCCGCTTGCGTCGACCTCGAGCGTCCCCGATGGAGCGGATGACCCCGGGCCGGGTGAGAGCCGTGTGTCCGAGGAGACTCGGGCCGCTGGACACCGACAGGCCGTACGGGTGAGGCCGAGAGTACGGGTTAGACATGGATGTGATCACTGTGGGCTGAACCATCCACTGCAGGTCCTGACTGGTGGTTATGGCATTAATCGTCGGGATAAAGGCACTGCTAGAACCAGGCATGTCTACTCTGTACTTCTGTGGAGAAGAAAGAAAAGCATTAGGATTAAGCCGTTCTTTCATGGTGATGTCACAATCGGAGCATGAAGAAACTCTGGATTAAGACGACTCTGACTTTCACCGTACATTAAACACACTGTGTGATTCATTTTTGGTCTTTGTTGCTGCAGTCCCCCTAGCCACCCACTGTATAGCCATTTTACAAATTCCCATCATCACAGACTAATGAATCACGCCGCGTGCCGCCCTCTTGACTGCTTGACCCCCAGAGCGACAGGGTGACACACTCACGGTGAATCATGGGAAAGCCCACAACCCTCCCTGACAGCAGCAGGCTTAGATAGTAGCCGCGGTGATGCAATGAGCCACAGTATCACCGCTGTGGGCTTGCAACAATTTGTGTTTTTCAAGAAACAAACCTCTTATAAGAAATGAATGCATATGAAGACCACAACATTAATACGGAAATCGAAAAAAAAAAAATGCTGAACTGTTTTGCACGTATTTAATGCCAACTGTCTTTTTAACTTTTGCAAAAAGTTTAATAAAACCTCAGTAGTAAACTTAAATTTGCCTTAACTTCAATTCCTACTTAGATGCAATAATCCAATCAGCCAGCAATTTAAATTAGAGGCACACAAAGTTTGTTTTTTTTTACTCTTTTGTGTAATTATTTTGTATTTACCTACGGAATACAATTATTACATATAAGAAACACTGGTAACACTTTATTTTAGTGTCATACATGTTATAACTATAAATTATGCATAATTACATGCAACTAATCCTAAACCAAATGAAGCCCTAACCCTATAGCCTACACACTCTAAAAATTGCTGGGTTGTTTTAACCCAACTTTGGGTAAAATATAGACAAACCCAGCCATTGGGTTACATTTTTTAATTACATTTTTAATCCAATGTTTGGGTTTGTCCATATTTGACCCAAAGTTGGGTTAAAACAACCCAGCATTTTTAGACTGCGTGTACTCTCTGTACTTCATACTTTAACATTAATAAATTGACAATATCAATGAATACTCCGTTTTAAATAAAGTTAGAATGATTAATATCAATTTAGAAGCGTTTAACATCATTAAACGTTGCAAGGCTAGTCATTTTTGGAATATTTGAATATACAGTGATAGTGAGTGGCTTACAAGAAAGCATTGCGCAAATATTCGTTGGAAAATACACCTGAATGATATGAATTTTACATGTGTAGTCTTGCAAATGCTGAATCAGGTTATGAGAGCGCTCTTCTGTTCCCCTCAGCCGGGAAGCTGACCTGGGATCGGCTGCCAGCACATTCCATCCTCCACATTCCATTCCATTCACACATTTCTGGTGGGATTTTAACGGGAAACTGACTTCATGTTACAGGCTGAGTTTCCCGCAACTTATTTGATGGCGAATGAATGACGGGAAATAACACGTGAATGAATAAACAAGCATTATATTAAGTCAATGTTCGTATTTTCTGAAGGTGTAGTGTTGCTTTAACACAGTAGCCTAGTAGATAATCGTTTTCCACAGCATATTGCGAAAGACTCCTGCCAGGAACTGACGCGTTTGTTTCCCATTTCATCCATGACGAAGGACCGGGAAGACCCACATAAACACATTGAATCACCTCTGTTGTGTTGAGAAGTAGCGCTTTATCTTCTCTTGAAATACACCCGAATCCCTTGCTCTTGATTTTCCCCGAAGGAGTCTAAACTACACATGCTGGGATCGGAAGGGGGCAGTAAGTTTATTCCACGAGTTTAAACAGAAACCAAGACGATGCTCGGGAATTTCTGACAGGAGCAGTTAAACCTTCCAGATGTGATTAAAATACCAGCGTCTGGGGGAACATGACCCAGTACACAAGCTCTTATTCATTCACTGAGGAGAACCAGGTCGGAGGAAATTACCTAAAACACTTCATGAAGAAGAGATGCACTTCACTGGAAACATTATCCATTTTAATGCAACACTCTTGCATTAACTCGTAATAGGCTTTAGATAGTCGAATTAATCTAGTAGCTGTAAACATGTAGCTATTTATTATAAAAACAACTGTGATTAACATTATCTATATACGATAAAAATGATTATAAAGTTAGTTGCATGACATAAGGATACAATTGAGTATTAAATAAAGTGTGATAGAGCTTTTTTACTACTTTCTTTCAACATGGACCAGTTTGTGAGTCTGTGAGGATTTTTTTGTCCATGCAGAAATTCGCATGAATTGCATAAAAAAAACATGCATTTATTGAAGTATAATAAATTACTAAAGTAATCAAGCAGAGAGACCCTAATGCGCAACCTTAGTCTCTTGCCATTGCATTTAATTCACCATTTGCCAATTCTAGTCAGTTCATAAAAAAGTAGAAGCCCAACGTTTGTGTAAAGCCCTTATATGTAGGCTACTCGAAATCCGAATTGCTGTTTTTTTTTTTTTTTTTTTTTTTTTTTTGTTTTTTTCTCCATCCCAAACTTTACAGTTCAACTACGGATAAATGAAAGGTATTTTCAGGTAACCTAAATGACAACTGGCCAAATTCTGAAGGTTAGTGAAGTGCAATCGCTATGTGGAAGTCCCGGAAGTGTGGCATTCTGCGGCCACTGCGCGCGCACTGACTCTCCGTGGATTTATTTCATATTACGCACGCCACCCACGCCACTGCTGCCCTTATCTGCCTAATTCCACGGAAACATAATGTTATGAGTGCCAACATGTGCGCTATCTTTCCAAAACGATAGATTGCAGGAAGCAAAAATAAATCTCTTCTGGGAATCATTTAGGCTATTAAGAGTGCGAGACGGATTCCTGGGAGGATTTTACGCGTTTTGCGCGTAGATGCGTATGTGTCCTGCATGCACTTTCTTTTCAAAATAATGATCATATATGATTTTAAAACACAGCAATAAAAATGTGACACACACACAGGTAGCGTAGCTATACTTTTATAGTCTGCTCATAGTCCGGGCGAATGTCCGGTTTTCATGCCCAACACTTGTATTGCTTTTCAAAACATGCACACAAGGCCACTGCATGATGAAAACGACAACCTGCAAGTCCTTGATTTATAAAAAGTTTGGTCTCATTTAACCTCGCAGTTTATGCATGACTTAATCTGCGCTAATGTGTTAGCCTATTATTTTGCGGCACTACGCATTGCTATAGATGTTTACTGCAATAACACGAAGTGTGTGTAATAGTGTGAGCACTGTATGTAAAGAAGATAAGCTATAAGTTACACTCTAAAAAAATGCTGTGTTGTTTCAACCCATGTTTGGGTCAAATATGGATCTACTACCCATGCAACCGTCAGAAAATTAAACCAATGGTTGAAACAACCCAGTATTTTAGAGCGGGTTAGTTTGGGATTATTAACGATAGGCCTGTTCATGTAAACCCGCTGATGTGAGGTGTGTGTGGAGACGGAGACGGAGACTCGGGCACCTGGTAGCTGGAGGCGGGGATGGGGCTGGTGTCCGGGTGCGCCGGTGAGCTGCTGCTGCCGCGGGAGGACGTGTCGTATGTCCCGGTGTAATCCTGGTACATGATCCAGGGAAAGAGGAGGAAATTTCAGAGGCTTGGTAATGAATTCCCACACGGTCAGTGTCTTCAGTGGCACAAAAAAAGCACTTCCAAGCGAAGCGATTCCTTTACACCTGATCTAAAAATGATATCCAAGATAGGCTACTTTAATGCTCGGTATGATAAATCCAGGCATAACACCTATTCTATTAGCCGATTAGAAGTCAGCGATCTCAAATTCTGTAGTCTCTTTAATAGTCCAATAAATTGATGTTCCCGTGTAAAACTACTGTGCAATAATCATCGCTAGTGAGCTGTTCTGCTAGAACCAGATGGAAAATGAAAAATCTGTGAAGCACCTACTTTTCTTCAGTAAACTCTTGCAGGTTTAGTCCTGTCCCCACAGCAGTGACTCAACGCAGGGATGAGTGTACCGCTCTGGACTTTGTTGAACTGATTTTGGCGACTAGGTGAACTTCAGTGCTACTTCTACAGGTCCCGTCGGTCGTTAGATGACTCACTTCAATGGCTCTACTCTACTCCGATGCTCCGCTTATCAACGCCAACCTGCGTCTACACGTCACGGCCTTGTTAAGCCACAAAGCAAAATGGGGGTTTCATAATGTACATTTTGGGTCATAATGCTAGACGTTATATTTCCCGGCGAGCTTATGAAATATTAGGGTTTAAATATTTAATAATAACTTATATTCTGCAAAGGAGAAATAGTTTGAGGTGTTTTAATTTGTTTTAAACTTGTTTGCATGTAGCGGCCACCCCCATTCCACAGTTGGTTTCGACCATTGACGCATGTTTCCAAAAATGGGCAGTTGCGTCAGAGCACACGCGCATGGGTTTCCTTGGTAAAGGCACGGTAAAGACGCGTCAGGGATTCCCTCCCCTCTTTCCCCACCTTTAACTTTCACTGGGTGGTCTGTGGACACATATTATATATTCGGTTCCTACGAGCACGGAACACGGCGAAAGCGTGGAGAGGTGCTCGAGGTTTCAGAAAGTGGCCGGATGTTGCTCTCTGAACTGTGCGCTTTCTAAAGTGCGAGCATGCTTGTGCAATTGCTTCATCGTGGAGTTCTCCCTCCCTCTCTTTATTTCTCTCTCTCTTGGCAGTTCGAAATACATGAATTCAATATTTTTGTAGGCTATATGTTTTCCTTGATAACAAATCTTTGTTGCATCATAGCCTAACTGTTTCTCAACCAGTCTGTTTCTCATTTACCACAAAGGCTCTCCAGGCTAAATTTTCTCTCCAGATGAAATAAAACTCATCATTATTGCCCAAAGAACAGATAGATGTCGCCAGTGGTACAATAAAGTTTATTGGGGGAGGGGAATTATCAATTGAACACTTTTTATGTTAGATTCCGTCAAAGTGGGGTCCAGTTATTTTATTTAGGTAGCCTATCGTATATATAAATGCAGGCTATTACATTTTTAGAAATATAATTTTGTGGATATACTAATTTCGCTATACGAATTTGCTTTTTAGCTTGATTTTTTAAGCATAAAGCATGGTAAACAGGAAAAAAGTGGGAATAAACACTTACTGCAGTACAATTCGTTTCACAATGAGTTTATTTATTCCGAGTTGAGTAAAAGAGGACGGATGAACATTGGTGCACAGGAAATACCCATCATTTTTTCTAGTAGTAGGCTACAGATCCTAACCAACGCAACAATACACGAGTAGGCTGCGAGATGGGCTACTTTTATTGGCGTGAATCCTGTTGCCTAAGCCTATCGTTTTAACAACAATAATAATATTAAATCACAGACTATATTTGCATTACAACTAATGCTTCTCCATATGTTATCTGTCATTGATTGTCTTGTGAGTTTCTCTATAGGCTACTTCTCTGCCATCTGATCTGACGATGAGCATTATGGAAAAGAACAAGAACAGGAGTGACGCGCGTTCCCGTGGATCGTCAACGTCACTCTGTCTGGCACAGCTCTGATCTCTTCTTATTAAACAGAGGAAGGGAGAGTTAGCTATGTTCGCTGGGTAAATTAATGCTGCGAGTTCTAGTGTCATACTATCGACAACTTTAATTAAATAGCTGAATCGAAAGAAGCAATCATATCAGGCTAAGCGAACTATTATCACGAATATGTGCAAGTGAAATCAGATGATATTTTGATAGGCTTATATTATGGAAGTGAATGTTAAACTATATTCCATCGCATATATCCATAAAACATAGCAGTAGTCAATGACGACAACACTACTAAACAGATTAGCTCCTTAACCCTATGAGACGCATCATGCTAATCTGATAACAGACAGTCAATGATACTGTAAGGTCCAAGGTAAATATGAAGGCACAAGGAATGGATGCAATATAACCTTTTGTGCTGATTTATCGCATCTTTAACATGCTACTTTGGCTTGTAAAACTTTCTTTGTGATGAAGTTTTTTGTTGTAGTTAGCTACCGGCCACTTTCCGTCACTTAAAGCAACAGTTCACCCACAAATAAAAAAAAAAAAAATTCCGTCATCGGTTACTCACCCTCATGTTGTTCCGAATCTGTATTCATTTCTTTCTTCTGCTAAACACAAAATATGATATTTTTCAAGAATGTCTGTAACCAAACATGATTGTCCCGATTGACTCCATGTTTTTTAGATTTCTTTTCCCTGGAAGTCAATGGGCCTATCAATTGTTTGGTTACCCGTTTTCTTCAAAATTATAGAAGCTTGTGTCCGCCACAGAATAAAAAATAAAAAAGGTAATAGATTGGTGAAGTTATGACGTCACTCTGTAGGCCAAAACGCGGAAGTGAGTTAGCATTTTAGCACTCCCGGTTCCCTCGCTCTAAAGTCTATGGGATTTTTGAGTGGGTTTTTGCTAAATCGCCTGAAATAAGGTCTGTGGTGAATAAAGCCTCTAAATATTTTCACGTTTTAATCTATCACATAGAACGCACAGTTATAACCAGCTTGTGGCTTTGTGTTTAAAAAAAAAAACTTTATATAGTCTTAAAAATGTATAAATTTTGGTTTAACTTGTAAAGATTATCTTGATAGACAAAATGTGTAATTGTTAAACACAGATCTTATTTTTTGCGATTTTCCAAAAGTCTATGGGGAAAATGCATTGCTTTTCGATCGAGGGAACCCATGCGCCGCTAGCTTCCAAGTTGACCTACAAAGTGACGTCGTAACATCAGCACTCTATTGGGACTTTTTATCTCATAATTCTGACTCTTTTTTTCGAGTTATAGACCCTTTTTGCGCCGACGTCACAGTTACGTCACGGCGCTAGCTGGAGGCAAAACAAAGTGAAAACTGGAGGCGGCCAATACAAACCAGCACAGATTCGGCTACATAATAAAGAGCTTAAATAATTGTTACTATTATTAAATGTCATCTTGTTGTGTTGTTTGGTGCAAGAATTGATGAAAAATGAATATCTGGAACTTTTATTTCTAGAAAATATTCACATCATTAAAATCGCACTGTAATGTCACTCTTTACATTGTCGCGGTCTCGGCGCTGGCTCGGCAGAACTGTGGATCAATCACCACAGTCTTGTACAGGACCATATAGGCATCTAAAGATATATATGCCCTCAGTTTCTATTTACGATCGGTTTCTCCATAAGGTAGATGTAGAAGTCAGGCCACTCAACCGAGGTAACGTACGTTAATCCTGTCAGATCGTCCATGCATTGAATGAGCGTGTAGGCGGCTACGGGTCGGCCAATCTGGTTCCGTCCGTTAAAAATAACTTTTGGAAATAACAATCGCGGTCCTGGACACTGAGTGACCATACACATTAAGATAATATCGGATTTTCTCCAGTCATTGTTAAAAAACAAGTTAACAATCCTTGCTAACTAGCGTTAGTGAAGCGGCCAGATGGATCTTTCTGCCTCCACCTAAGCTCCGCCCACAAAAAAAACGTCACCATGTTTACCAACTGTAAAAGGGTCTATAGTCTAAAGTCATAAATTGTGAGATATAAACTCGCAATTCTGAGGGAAAAAAATCAGTCTTTTCCCCCGAATTGGAATTTATAACTCGCAAAAAAGTCAGAATTGTGCAGATAAAAAGTCGCAGTTATCTTTTAAATTGTTTTATTCTGTGGACGGAAACAAGCTAACAGCTTCTTTTGTGTCAGCAGAAGGTTTTGAAGATTTTTTTTTTTTTTTTTTGGGGGTGAACTATCCCTTTAAAGGTTTGGTGATAATGCGCTAAAACCAGTTTGTCACTGGTGTAGCCATTAACACTATAAACGGATTTACATAGGCCTACACTAATGCCAGAACATTATAGTTTCATGCTCCACAATGCTTGTCCTTCAACACAAAGGGATCGTTTTTGGAAGCAGAGATCCAGGCTGCATTAATGGGTAGATCGAGTGGCGACGAGCGTCTGTGAACATCACGATCTGCCTGGGAGTCTCCTGGGTGGAGTGCTTTGTGGATTACAGACTGGGTAGAACACCTGATCTAGATTAGTGGTCCAATGATCTCTTGAAATTTTATTTGTGGGTTTCCCTGGCAACTACCAGTCTGAAACAGAACAGAGCCATTCCATGTGAACATTCCAAGCCTAGAGGGAATATATGAAACTCAGAGGATAGCAAATGAATCCATGCTAGAATATCTCCACTGATTAAGGCAATCATATTACAGTGAAGTAGGAAACATGGCCTTGGTTTGCCTGTTGTACATAATCTCCCAAGACTTGCTCAAACAGAATTATTCTCCAAGCTGAGATTCAAACATCTGCAAATGCTTTACTTATTGTTTCTTGGTTGAATGGAAAGATGAGCAACTTCTTAAAGTAGTTCACTTTAAAAAAAAGATGTCCACGTCTTTCTTTCTTCAGTCAAAAAGAAATTAAGGTTTTTGATGAAAACATCAGGATTTTTCTCCAAATATGGACTTCAATGGGGTCCAAATGGTTCAAGGTCTAACTATACTGCATACATATAATTTAGTCCCATGAATCCCACAAGAATGCAAAATATGAAACAAAAATAATATCGAACAAAAATATAGTACAATCATTTAATTTAAATGAAAAAGCACATCTTTTTTTCATTTTTGACCAATGCGAACAGTCCCAGAGGATATTATATAACAACATATTATAGCCAAATTATTAAAACATATTGAAGAGTTCATGATTATTTTGAGGAGAGCAGCATCTCTTCATTAATCACTGGGAGAGCTAGAGAACAATGCATGCTGTGTGAAAGACTTAAATTCTAGCTAGGCAACTTCACGTTTATTTTCCTGTTTATGTGTTTGTGAATGGAGAAATCCTACGACCTCACGGGAATGAGGCGTACTTACTTATATTTCCACTACCTGCTGTCTATAACCATGAGGACAGGACCTAGTTCAGCAAGCATGAACACTCTCAGAAAAAAAGGTACAAAAGCTGTCACTGGGGCTGTACCTTTTCAAAAGGTAAACTTTTGTCCATTTTAGGTGTTAATATGTACATTTTAGGTGCTAATATGTCCATTTCATGAGCTAATGTCCATTTTAGGTGGTAATATGTACATTTCAGGTGCTAATATGTCCATTTTAGGTGCTAATATGTCCATTTCATGAGCTAATATGTCCATTTTAGGTGCTAATATGTCCATTTCATGAGCTAATATGTCCATTTTAGGTGCTAATATGTCCATTTCATGAGCTAATATGTACATTTTAGGTGTTAATATGTACATTTTAGGTGGTAATATGTCAATTTTAGGTGTTAATATGTACATTTTAGGTGATAATATGTCCATTTCATGAGCTAATATGCACATTTTAGGTGGTAATATGTACATTTTAGGTGTTAATATGTCAATTTTAGGTGGTAATATGTACATTGTAGGTGGTAATATGTCCATTTCATGAGCTAATATGTCCATTTTAGGTGGTAATATGTCAATTTTAGGTGTTAATATGTACATTTTAGGTGATAATATGTACATTTTAGGTGCTAATATGTCCATTTCATGAGCTAATATGTACATTTTAGGTGTTAATATGTACATTTTAGGTGCTAATATGTACATTTTAGGTGGTAATATGTCCATTTTAGGTGTTAATATGTACATTTTAGGTGGTAATATGTCCATTTCATGAGCTAATATGTACATTTTAGGTGGTAATATGTACATTTGAGGTGTTAATATATTCATTTTAGGTGGTAATATGTATATTTTAGGTGATAATATGTACATTTTAGGTGCTAATATGTACATTTCATGAGCTAATATGTACATTTCAGGTGCTAATATGTACCACTAAGGTACCAATATGTAGCCATTGGATACAAAAGTGTACCTTTTGAAAAGGTCCAGCCCCAGTGACAGCTTTTGTACCTTTTTTTCTGAGAGTGAACGAGATGTATGCAAGCATTCTTTTCAATATCAAGCCCTTCCCCCGGCCGTCACTGAACAACGTTTTCCGTTTATTACGCCAACAAGGATTGTTTATGGTAGCAGGTTGTCTTAAATAAACTGGTTTTTATTTACCCATACACAAACACAAACTGTGGCTTTCGCCGTGGCTCTGAGAGAGTTGTTACTACGAGAATCGGTTCCTGCTACAATGGAAGGAAATGCGTCACAAACGTGTGGCTGACTCAAAACAAAGAGCGACAAAACGAAGTGATGGCCACTCAAAAACAGAGGGGGGATGGAAAGCAGGAGCGTATAGTGGAAGAACTTGACGAATGGAGAAGAAATAGGAGAGGTGGGGGGACTTTAAAGAAGGACAGAAAGATTTATATTGCGAAAGGGTCTTCCCGTAAACCTTAGGTGTTTGGCCAAGGCAAATATGACCCATCACAGAGAGCACTTATTCCGAGAGGAAAGATGCAGAGGTACATCTGATCTTTACACCTCTTGTTTTGCTCATTATTTTGTCAGGTGTCGCTTTCCGAGGGTCACAGTCGTTTCGGAACGGCTCTATTAGAGTTACGAGAAGTATGAATGGGCATGGAGATGTGAAGCAAGCTCTCGCAACGCTAATGTGTTTGTCTAGAGCACGAGTGGACCAGCGTTCGCTGTCTGAGCTGATAAGGTTCCTGTCTGCGTCTCCTCAATGTGTCGGAGTGCTAGACACCCAATGCCACGCTACTTAAATAGGACAAATACACTCATATGTAACAACAATCCTCACTGGTTAAAAAGAATTTGTGAGCTCTTACTAAATTGTAACAAACATGTGAGGAAACTTTTGGTAAACATTGCCACAGAATGTAATGAACTTAATTGTTCAAAGTTGTTACATATTAACTGCGATTGTCGTTGTCCTGTCATGAGGAGTTGAAAAACAAACATGCCCTTGTGGTTTAAAATGTAGATATTCTTGATGTTTTTAAGCAATTGGGTTCGAGAAGCAGTGCTGTATTGTCATTATAGGCAATAAAATGTTAATAAAGAGTTACTTCATTAAATCCCATATTTTTGCTAAAAGATTTTGTCCCCGATATGCAAACTATGGTTTATCTTTTTTTTCCCCCCAGTAGAACAATTTGAGTTAACAAAGAAGTTGTGTACACTGTAAAAAATAATAATAATAATAATAAAAAATGAGTTAATACAATGAAGGATATTGATTTTATCATCAGTGGCCAGTTGTTCAAAACATTTTTCCTATCCAGGATCAGGTAATCCGTCTTACTTTTATGCTGGTTTTTCAAAGCAACATTGGACTGGATCACCCTGATCCGGATACACAGTTTTCAAGATTACCAAATCCGGATTACCAGTGGTCTAAATGGGACAACATATCACAATGTGGGCTACCAGCTACTGTGTGTAAAGAACAGGTAGAAGAGCCAACATGGGGTCACTGTAAGTGTTTCTTATTTTGAGACAAAACACAAATGGAGACAAGATCATTTTTATTTTATTTTTACTTTACTATACTGAATAGCTTAATTGTTAGTCTACTTTATCACTGTTACAACGGTAACACAAGTCAAGTGCAAAATTTAAATAAAAGTATATACACTAAATTATACAAATTGACCAATTTTAAAGTTTTACTACATTTTCTTCCTGAAATCCACCTTGAAATCCTACCCCTGTTGGGATCACGATAATCCAGTTTTTTTGGATCAAAGTTATCCAAATCCTACTGACCAGTTTCGAACAACACAAACTGAAGGTTTGATCCAGATTAAAACTAGGATTGGATTCCCTGATCAGATCTGATTTCAGATTCCTTCTTTCCCTTTTGAACCACCCATTTTCAAGATTTGATCCAATTCGATAACCAAAATCCGATCAGCTTTCCTTTGAACAACTGTCCCCAGAAACTCAAAATATTATGTTATCTGAACCACATAAAAGATTTAAGTTGATTTGACAAAAGAAAAAATGGCAACAGGAGGTAACACACTACACGAGTTGATCACCCAACGATTCTATCTTGTCTACAAACCACGTTTTGTCACGAAAAATCACTGGATAAAAAGAACCGGAAATGACGCGAAACAGCACGCGCGCAAGAAGAGAAGAACACAACGCGAATATGGACGTCAGACAGAAACGAGTGCTGCATGCAAACTGTTCGTGTGATGAATCAATTGTAAAAAATGCACAAAAAATAAAAAAATAAAAAAATAAGACTTACCCGGTGACCTCAACCCATGCCTTGCTCTGATTGGCTGTAGCTCATGACATCACTGAGGTTGAGTCGCGCGACAGCTCTGGATAACATGCTAGATATTTCTCTGGGCTCTGCGAGGCGTCTTTGATGCGTTTCATACGAACTAAAACAAAAACACACTTTTTAAAAACACAGTTTGAGATCGCTAGTGTTTCAATCAGATAAATGAGCTGGTGTGAGTGATAGGAGGTGGGGCTCATTTGCATATTCATAGAACCGTGTATACTAATCGAGGCAAGGGTGTAGAGTTACATTCAAGATATTTTAAAGCATGGCGAATTTTTTAAAGAAAAAAAAAAACTTGTTTAAATATGTCATTTTGGTGATAATTGACTACAGTGTCTGCTCTAAATAAAGACTCAATGGCACAAAAAAAAACCCCATATACTAAATACAAAATGTCATCTCTGACACGACTCACACTTTTAGCCCAGTCATGACAGAATATATATATTACAATAATTTTAACAAATTCAAAGTTCTACCATGTGCCTAGAAACTGATAGTGTAAGCTTGAGTGTTTTATCAGTGATGGACGCTGTGGATCAGCATAGGACTGATCAGATGCATGAGTCGGATGTGATCTTTGCACGGTACTTTATGAAATAACCCACATTGTGGTGCGGTTAAAACCCACATGAAGAGGTGATGCCTCATTTTCCATTATGTCTTGCATCATCACGTCACAATGTAAAGGCAAGCTGTCGATCCTGAAGAGAACGATCCTTCTCGACATGAATGACCTGTCGGTACACGAGTTGAACTTCACCTGTCTCCGCCTGCCCTTGTATAACACCCAATAACACACATGTAAAGAACAAGAGAGGTGAGACAGACAAAGCAAGTGACATTCTTTCCACCGCCGCACAGAAATGCATCGAGTGTTACCATGATCTGTCCAGTTTCCTACAGCACGAAGATTCATTCCCTCCATATATCCAGCTATACACATGTCTTCTGGAGGCAGAGCTCCTCTGTGGGGTTTACTCCTTTGGAGCATCCATTGTGTCCGGTTGAATGAAAGCGTAATGTGAGTGTGGAAAAGTGGAAAATGTAATTAAGCAGCTAAAGGGGGTTTCGGGCGCTCGTGTCTGTGGAGCGGCGCTTCTGAAGCCCTGCAGGACCACTGAGGTCAAGGGCGCACGCTGAGGTCAACACTTTACAGCAGATTTCAGAAGTATTGAACTAATTCAACAAAAACTAATTAAAAGGGTCAAGCGCACTACAGACAATCATTAATAGCATGCAAGACGCTGTGTGTTTCAGTGTTTTTATGCCATTTCATCGGTTTACAAGATCTTGACCAAAGATCTTCTATTGCACATCTATTGCACGTCTCCTCCAGCACATCCCAAACACTTTCAATGAATTTAAGCTCTGGACTCAAAGATGGCAATTCATGAAAATGATTCTTCGTGCTCCTTCCACACTTTAAACCATGCTGGGTTGTTTTAACCCAAATTTGGGTCAAATATGGGCAAACTCAAATGTTGGGTTAAAAATTTAATTTGAACCTAACTTCTGTAAATTTTTGAATTACATTGTTAACCCAGCATTAGGGTACGTCCATATTTGACCCAAATTTGGGTTGAAACAACACAGCATTTTTTCAAATGCAACCATTCTTACACAATCTGAGCCTGATGAATCCTGACATTATCATCCTGGAATTTGGCCACGATGTGTCTTCCTACATGGTTGTTTAAGAGATGAAAAGCTACACACTCCATCAGTTAGGGTTAGAAGAACTGTTGCTATACACTCTAAACAATGCTGGGTTGTTTTAACACAAAATTGGGTAAAATATGGACGAACCCAAATATTGGGTTAAAAATGTCATTTAAAATTTGAACCCAACTTCAACTTTCACTTTCAACTATACATTTTTTTAAACAACATTTGGGTTTGTCCATATTTGACCCAGATTTGGGTTGAAATAACCCAGCATTGTTTAGAGTGTATAGTATTCACTGCAATATTGATCCAATCATAGACTCTCTCGTAATTGCCCATTTAAACCCATATGGACAAACTCAAATGTTGGGTTAAAAATGTAATTTGAACTTCAACTTTCACTTTCAACTGTAATTTTTTTTTACCCAATATTTGGGTTTGTCCATATTTGAACCAAATTTGAGTTCAAACAACCCAGCATTGTTTAGAGTGTATAATAATCACTGTACTCATAGACTCTCAAGTATTTGCCCATTTAAATCCAATCAGCAACTTTTCTTTTGATATGGCAGTGGATAATTTAATACAATAAACAACATTTTTTTTTCAGAGTAGGAGTGATATATATTATGTATAGAGCTACAATAAGCTTAAAAAACACAAGCTTATTTTTAAATATATTATGCAAAATTCTAAACCTAAACATAGAAGTGTTGGCGTATACACTCTAAAAAATGCTGGGTTGTTTTAAACCCAAATTTGGGTCAAAAATGGACAAAATTACATTAAATTACATTTTTAACCCAACATTTGGGTTTGTCCATATTTGACCCAAATTTGGGTTGAAACAACCCAGCATTTTTAGAGTGTATAAAGAGAGATTACCTCAAAATGTAGATCTGTACGAGGTACTTTATCTAAATATAGATATATCTATATATCTAGAGACAATACAGCTCTCGGTTTTGTGCCAGAGATTAACCCTCTGCGTGCCACGGTTGGTGTGCGTTGCATAGGTTGCGATCCGATTTAAAGTATCTGAATCAATATGGGATGCAGCAACAACTAAGAATGCATCTCCTTCAAGTCAACTCTGTTTTATTATATGAAATGCACACACACATGATTGATGATCTTGATATAAGATCTGTTGTAATTATGCAGCAGACATACACAGATGTCCGCAGTTCGATGTATATACAAGGTTGAGGACTGTAAGGTTCACAAAACACCTACAAATTATTCCTGCCTTTTGATCTGCGGTGTGCACCTGTCTGTGCGACTCTACCTTGTGTTCATCACTCCTTCTGACAGGCCATCAGAGCGCATCTCTCAGCCTGACAGCGGTCAACACTCGATCCAGCCTGACAGTTGACCAGGTACTGCCGCCAGCCAGGACAGGAGAGGAGGAGGAGCGCCGGGAACGCGGACCGAGAGGGGAAAGTGTTGAGATGTCTGAGCAAAATGAGATAATTGATCTCAAAAAGAGTCGGTAACCAAACAGTTGATGGACCCCATTGACTCTATCCTACTATGGAAGTCAATGGGGTCCAATAACTGTCTGGTTACCCACATTCTTCAAAATATCTTACTCTTTAAATGAGTAAATGATGACAAATGTTACTTTAAAGTGTGGTCACATTAATGAAAGGTCAGTTACAATTCTGTGGGCAAATAAAAGTCTCATTGTCTAATCTAGAGAAGTGATGTACAGACAGGCAGCTTTCTGTTGGTCAGCGTTGTGAATTCACATGACCATCCTGAAAATTCACAAAGTCTGCATAGTCCACAGAGCAATGGTTAACGTCACCCGACATTTAAGGGGCTTTCGCACCGGGTTGTTGTGACTCAGTTATGGGAACTAGTCAGCAGGGCGGTCCCCATGAACTAAATGTTCCCCTGGAGCCCCATTGCATTCATACCATCAGTAGGAACTCTGAAGTGACGTAAACTGGCCGACTGTGACGACATTAAAGTGCCGCATTCAACAGCGTCCACCAACTGGAGGATGAAGGACGCTTGTAATTGGAGTTGTGTTTATGTTGTGGGTTTCGTGATAACAGGTGAAATGTATACTGTATGGGTCTGGTTTGGTTACAGGTCTGGTTTCACAGACAGGGTTTAGGTTTAGGCCTTAGTTCAACTTTAAAAAAAAAAAAAACTTTTGCTGATAATTTACTCACCCCCATGTCATCCAAGATATCCATGTCTTTCTTTCTGCAGTCGAAAAGAAATGAAGGTAACCAAACGGATCAAGGTCCAAAAGACAGTTTCAGTGGAAACTGCAAACTGTTCAAAGGGCTTTAAACACGTATTCGTGACTCTCCTGTTCGAACTCGTTTATCAAAATGAACGAATCTTTTCCCGAGTCAACTCATTCATTTTGTTCGTTGAATGAACCAAATGACACGGAAAAAGATTCATTCATTTTGATGAACGAGTTCAAAAAGGAGAGTCACAAACGTGCATCACAGAACAGAGCAAGGCGACAATTTGAGCTTATAAAACTTAAACTTTATTTTCTTTTTTAAATGAGCGATCGTTTCGCTTCATAAGACCCTTATTCATCGTCTGGAATCGTTTAAAGCCCTTTGAACAGTTTGCAGTTTGTACTGAAATGGTCTTTTGAACCTTGAACCGTGTGGTTCCCATTGAAGTCCATTATATGGAGAAAATCTTGGAAAGTTTTCGTCAAAAACCTTAATTTCTTTTCGACTGAAGAAAGAAAGACATGGATGTCTTGGATGACATGGGGGTGAGTAAATTATCAGCAAAAGTTTTTTTTAAAAGTGAACTACTATAAACTTATAAACGTGCCATAGGAAAAAAAAACATTACTGGTGTGAATATTGAGACAAAACAATGGAAGCAAGTTGCTTTCAGTTAAAATATCTCAAACGTGCATTTTAGTGTGTGAAACTGGCCAACAATCTCCTGTGAAAACTCAGTCAACGATAGGATTAACATTATCGCTGTTTTCCATGTTCATGGAGTTGGTTGCGTATTTACACAACTTTTTAAAAATAGCCAGAGCCTGTGTTTCATATAGCATACGTCACTCATTGGGTTATGGCCTGTTCACATATAGCATCTTTTGTGCGCTCAAGTTCGTTATTTTAAATGTAGGCGCGCGCGGTATGCGCTCATAATGGAACCGACGTGGTCGCGCTAGTTTTTTCAAGCACGTCCGCGCCGCATCGAGATAAAAACATATCATCTTTTCAGAATGCCGCAAGCGCACTATAAGCGCACAGTAGGTCACGTGACAAGAACCAACCGGAGCGTAACCGTCCTAGCGCTTTGGAAAAATGAGAATGCGGCGCGCAGCGTTTTCTACGCGTTTTTAGGCGCTATATGTGAATCCGGCCTTAAGGCCATTGCACACCGAGTCCGAAATTTGCATCCGAAATTTTCGCACGTAAAAAAAAATTGAGCTCATGTTATGTCAATCACGCTTGCACACCGCCTCCAAAACTTTCGTCCGTCATAAAATTAATCGAATCGATTTTCTGCGTTTTTTGCATCCACAGCCAGCATTTTGAGAGGTTTTTTTGACAATTCAGTGCCGGGGGGAGCTCGTTCCGCACATCATTCCAAATGCGCAGTCCTTTCTGTTTGGGTTTTCAATTCGATCAAGTGTTCATATGGTGGTCTTCTTTTTAATATGTGGCTGCAGAATCGCTACCAAAGCATCTAACTGTTCCACTGACATTCTGAAGTAAATTTTGAATATCTCGGGATAAATTCGCGACTCCTTGATAAGAAAGTGGAACTCTCCTTCCTCTCTGCGCAATTTCAGGATTGGATGGACCCAATATTTTCTCTTTGTTCTCTTTTCAATAAGAGAGAGGGCAACAAAATCATCCGCTTGACAAATTCATTTTGTATTTTTGTGCGGTTTTTTTTTTCGCAAAGGTTTAATAAATACGCATCGGTTTCTGTGCGTGACGAATTTTTAGGCTGACGAACATGAAAAAACGCATATGAAAATTTCAGACTCAGTGTTCAATGGCCTTTAGACCATAAGGCCAATTTATACTTCTGCGTAGGGTGCGCGCAGTAGGTACGGCGTAGCATACGCACAGACGCGTCCCATTGCGCGTACCCTTCGCCGTCGCCTGACGCGCACCTCCTCAAAAATGTAACTACACGTCGCGACGACGCGGACCGCAAGATCGGTGATTGGTCGGCTTGGTAGCATCGCATTTCCTCCTACGCATTTCCGCACGTACCTTCTCACGCATTTCCACCACTGTCTATGATTTCCACACGTACCATCTCCTCCGACGTCTTCTCTCATTTCTGCCTTTCAGTTTTAGTAATAATTTCACTAAAGTGAACTGTTTTTCCACCTCAATAAGCTCCAACTCCAACATGATCCACTCTCTTTCAATCGCTATTGCTTGTAGTAACCTAGCCGCGAGGAATCTAAACACAGTGGAACATTAAAACTCTCCGCCGCCAACTAGCGTTTCGGAGCAGTACTGCAGAGCAACCAAGACCTGAAAGCAGAAGTATAAATGCTCATAACGGCGTCGCCTACGTGCGTAGCCAACGCCGCACATTACGGCGTACCCTCGACGCAGAAGTATAAATTGGCCTTTACTCTGAAATAGGAGCTCATTTAGTAACTAAAATCGTTCCCAGTTCCTGAGGTGTGAAAAGGCGGGAAAAGTTTCCCGCCAAAAGTTACAGGAACTAATAAAACATTCCTCCACTGCAAAGTCCCCTTTTAGTCACTGACAAATGCTCTATTCCAACTGGGATGTCAGTCCCTTTAATTCCATGTTAAATTGGGGAAAGCCAATAGCTCTGTGCCAGGGCTGAAGCACCTGAGGGGTTTGCTTCTATAAATCTATGACAGGTCTAAATCGAACCAATTCGCAGCCCAGAGATGGGAGAAAATCTGCATTCAGCTTGTCATCCCCCATCATAACCCACAGAAAATGGAAATAAATAAATAAATAAATAAACCGAGCCCCCAAAAATGTGAGGGGGAGACGACAGCAGAAAGCAGCCGGGGCTGGAGCCAGAAACAGAGCGTGTTTGATCCGCTTAGCATGGCTCTCTCCTGCCTTTTGATGCATGGCTAGGAGGAGAGTAATTAGCAATTAACAATCAGGGCTTAACGAGTGGAGAGTTATTATCAAGCAAGGGTGAAAACATATCTAGCACGTTAACAAAGCGAAGCGAAAAGACTGTAATTCTCTCATTTCCGTGACATCTCGGAGGCCATTTTTTCCCCACTGCAACAGATCAAACAGGCCCCGACAAAAGGCCTCAAATCTCCCCCACTCTTCCAAATTAAGCCTCTCAGCTCCATCATCCCAAACATGGCTCGCGTCAACAAGCCGAGCCGTTCGCGAGTGCCGCCGCAATCCTCAATCCCCGCCGCCGCCCCCTCCTCTTCCTCGCTGGAAGACGGGGAAAACTCCCACTAATGTCACTCTGAATTTGCAGACATCAGGACACAGAGTATCCCAGAGTTCCAGGAAACTTTGTATCTCGTTTCCCCGTCTCAAATGTTTGTTTTCAGTGACTTTGTTTTAATGATGTGTTTGCCGTTTGTTTTTCAGAGGAATGTATGAAATAACGGTGATTGTGTATGAAATGGCCGGGCCTGACAGCTAGGGGAACTCCGCCGTGGTAAACAGACGTTTCCCTCAGCCTCGCGCTGACATATTCAGGCCTTCGTAATGTTCCTTATTTCGCTCCGATTACCTCTCATGTTCGCCCTACCCTGTCTTAACAGCGTCTTCAGGGACTGAGGTGATCTAACACGGCAAATGGGATTTTCAATACGGTCTTATTGTGGACATCAAAACACTATTTGCATTGTTTTGGGAGGGTCCGAATGTCTGGACATGTCTCGCTTCTCTTTTGAGAAAGGTAAGAATGAGGCAGAGTCAGAGTGCTGTCACATCCACTATTGGAGATTAGACCTAGATATGTTAGCGCATAGAGGACACTGGGTCTCGGTAACTGTAAGCTAAGCTTTCTTAAAGGAGCAGTTCACTTTAAAAAAAAAAAAAACTTTTGCTGATTATTTACTCACCCCCATGTCATCCAAGATGTCCACGTCTTTCTTTCTTCAGTCGAAAAGAAATTAAGGTTTTTGATGAAAACATTCCAGGATTATCTCCATATAATGGACTTCAATGGGGTCCAAACAGTTCAAGTTCCAAACGAGAGTTTCAGTGCAGCTTCAAAGGGCTTTAAACGACACCAGACGATGAATAAGGGTCTTATCAAGCGAAATGATCGCTCATTTAAAAAATAAATAACAAAGTTTAAGTTTTATAAGCTCAAATGCTCGCCTAGCTCTGTTCTGTAATGCGCGTTCGTGACTCTCCTGTTCGAACTCGTTCATCAAAACGAACGAATCTTTTTTCGAGTCATGACTCGAAGGGTCCTAGATAAGACACTTAGTCATCGTCTGGTGTCGTTTAAAGCCCTTTGAAGCTGCGCTGAATCTCTCGTTTGGACCTTGAACCGTTTGGACCCCATTGAAGTCCATTATATGGAGGAAATCCTGGAATGTTTTCATCAAAAACCTTAATTTCTTTTCGACTGAAGAAAGAAAGACATGGACATCTTGGATGACATGGGGGCGAGTAAATTATAAGCAAAAGTTTTTTTTTTTAAAAGTGAACTACTCCTTTAGTAAACGTTGTCTATGGTTTCAAACGCCTATTACAGCCTGGAGAAACGTCTCTCTTATAGACAGCTTAAATGGAACCATTTTTGTTATTTTCTTGCTTTTTATCTCCCAAATAATCACCATTAGGATACTGGGAAAACCTGGAGGAGAGTTGTTTTCATGTTGAAACACGATTGTGGCTGGGACTCCTCTAAACCTGTTTAGAAATATGTATAGACTCAGATTAACAGATGGTTTGAAGTCATTTTAAAATAGCCTGGACTTAAACAAACAACTGAAACTGTCAGTAGCAATTCCTTCAAAGGTTAACTTACCCGCTTGGAATGACAATACCGTTGCAATTGATGAATCTGAGCATCGTTTATATTGCCAAGCTTTTTATTTTCGGTGGCCTGCTGCCATCAAGATGGTTTAAATAAGGCAGGATTAGTGGATTTGGGGAATTAGCAGCAAAGTTGGCAGGCACTAAAAGTGGAGAGCCAAAAGAAAACAAGGTCTTTGAAAACAGGCTCATTCTACACCTCATCTGCATCCCTATTACAACTCTTTAAACTACTGAAATAAAAAAAAAGTATACTTTGATATAAGTTGCTGACGTCTGCATGAAACACACTAGTGGAAGCACTCGTTTTCCCCAACCCATAACGCACTACACTTTACTGTTAATGCAGCACTAGAGCTGATCGAGTGGGTGCTGAAAAAAAGACACATACCCATCAAGCTTTCCTTCAGCTCTTTCAAAACACCCTTAAACGGGGGTCCACAGTGCCAAGCGAGGACGGAAGGGAAAACAGACGGAAAGGATCTTGTTATTAATTCTTTTATTAAGAGACTTGATTCTATTAAACTGCCCAAATACATTTATCCCGTAGTTCCCAATTAGACATGACAGCTCCTACGTTACCAACAATAAATATAGCAGAGGGCAGATCCCCAGGCCAACAAAGACCCCTGACAATGACCCTTGTGTTTAATGATGAAAACAAGCACTCTCTCGCTCCCACACACCCCGTTCATGACTACACTCCCTCAACAAACACTCTCACACACTCAGGTTTGTGTTTGAAACCCTGTTAAAAGCTTAAAAGCGATCAGGGTTGACAGTGACGACACGTCAAGACATTTGTACACCATCGTGAGGCTTGAGCACAAGAAAACAATGTGTGCAGATATTCACATAGGGCCTTTAAATGAACACACTCAAACACATCCTCCTTGGAAAATTACAAGAACAAAAGACGTTGCCTGCAATGAACCAGTTTAGATGCTTTTTTCAATCAGAGTTGAGAAAATCAGATTATCTTACATATCGGATTTGCCTAAAAAAGGGAACGAAATGAAACAATTTGTGGATGAACTTAAAGGGATAGTTCACTTTGAAATTAATTTTTGGTGTGTTTTTTCTTACCTCAAGGGCATCCAAGATGTAGGTGTCTTTGTTTTCACAGTAGTTTCAATTTTGATATTTTTAGGTCAAACCGTTGTTGTCTGTCAGTCATATAATGGAGGTCTATGGTCACCACCTTAAAGAGCATGCACAGAGAAGTCCAGATTAAACATGATTTAATGACTCGTAAATGTAAGTACACATTGATGGCCTTAGACACGAAACGAGCGGTTTGTGTGAGAAAACGCTCGTTTTCTCACACAAGAGGTAAAAATTTATATCGTTTTACCTCTTGTAACCACAGGCACGCCCAAGTGTGGTTACAAGAGGTAAAAACGATATAAATACTGTTCGTTTTCTCACACAAACCGCTCGTTTCGTGTCTTAGGCCATCAATGTGTACTTACATTTACGAGTCATTAAATCCTGTTTAGTTTGGACTTCTCTGTGCATGCTCTTAGAGGTGGTGACCATAGACCTCCATTATATGACTGACAGACAAGAACGGTTTGACCTAAAAATTTCAAAATTGAAACTACTGTGGAAACAAAGACACCTACATCTTGGATGCCCTTAGGGTAGGCTAAAACATAAACATTCATTTCAAAGTGAACTATCCCTTTAAAACCTAAAACACTTTAAAAGCAAAAACTAAGAGGAAAGAAGCAATGCAACTTGATTTATCAGTGTCATATATTCATAAAGAACATGAAAAAACACAAATAGCATATAAATGATAAAAAAAAATACACATAGTACATTTAAATGTACCAAATGACATTGCTTGTAAGGGCAGAAACACTAAAGAGGGCCGGTCGACTCTTTCACAGACTCCGGTCTTCTGTACATCATGTTCACCTCCTCAATCACACTGTACTGTATCTACAGTTTACCGTTGGCAAAAGCCCCCTCCTGGAACTGAGGGATAAAGCTCTTGAAGTAAGCCCTGTGGGGGAGAGAAAACCAGAGAGTAAGAGAATCAGAAAAGAAAGAGAAAGAAACAGGACGACAGCAGCGTCATGTAGAAACTTAAACGTGAAATCACCCTGACCTCCTGACTGTTACTACAAAACACAATACAAGATTAGTATAGATCTTTGCTGTTGTGTCAAGTCACATTTGTTAATGCAGCGCTTTATACAATGCAGATTGTTTCATAGCAGCTTTAATGATCAAAATAATACTCAATTCTGCTATTATATGAAGCAGCTGCTAAAAGACAATAGTGCCATTGCTCAAGTCAGTTTAATATTGATAAAAAAAAAATTTCATTGGAACTCTATATTGCAATAAAAAAAATCTCATTGGAACTCTATATTACAAAAAAAATAAATAAAATAAAAATAAATAAATAATTGGAACTATATTGCAATAAAAAAAATAATAAAAAAAATCTCATTGGAACTCTATATTGCAATAAAAAAAAAATCTCATTGGGACTCTATATTACAAAAAAATAAAATCTCATTGGGACTCTATATTACAAAAAAAAAAAAAAAAAATCTCATTGGAACTATATTACAAAAAAATAAAATAAAAAAAAATCTCATTGGAACTCTATATTGCAATAAAAAAAATCTCATTGGAACTATATATTAAAAAAAAAAATCTCATTGGAACTCTATATTACAAAAAAATAATCATAAAAAAATCTCATTGGAACTCTATATTGCAATAAAAAAAATCTCATTGGAACTCTATATTACAAAAAAAATAAAATAAAAAAAATCTCATTGGAGCTCTATATTACAAAAAAAATACTAATAAAAAAATCTCATTGGAACTCTATATTGCAATAAAAAAAATCTCATTGGGACTCTATATTACAAAAAAATAAAATAAAAAAAATCTCATTGGAACTCTATATTACAAAAAAAAAAAAAAAAAAAAAAAAAATCTCATTGCAACTCTATATTGCAATAAAAAAAATCTCATTGGAACTCTATATTGCAATAAAAAAATCTCATTGGGACTCTATATTACAAAAAAAAAAAAAAAAAAAAAAAACCTCATTGGAACTCTATATTACAAAAAAAAAAAATCTCATTGGAACTCTATATTGCCATAAAAAAATCTCATTGGAACTCTATATTACAAAAAAATAAAATAAAAAAAAATCTCATTGGAACTCTATATTGCAATAATAAAAAAATATTTAATATTGATTCAGTTGAGAAACTGTGTAAAACTGTAAAAGTACATCAATTATGAAATGAGTTGGACACATTGTCATCATCCAGCTCAGTTCAGTCCTTATCCAATACTGTCAGCGCAGTCATATCAAAAATATTGCAAAATTGTAACATAATTGGTATAAAGACTAACGAAACTGCTCTGACTACTAAAATGTTTGCATTGTGACGAAACTCATAAACGACGTTCAAAAAGAGAGAAAATACACACTACAACCAATCAGGTCAACTAACAGATGAAATAAAAGTCCAGTATGTGCCGATAATCGCAGCAAAAACATGTTTAATCTCGGCCAAGCTAGAAAGCCTAAGCAAAAGAGATAACACACAGAAGAAATGCATTATCTCTGACACTTATCGCTCTCGGGACAAAGAGTGCTCTCCAGCTATGAGGTGTGGCGGGGAGAAACGGCCAAAGGTGAATGCTGCACATTCCAGTGGCATTCAGGTCACCATTACACATGAAGTGAAGCAAACGAGAGAAATGCCATTCCACAGGGGGAGAACTGTCTATGTGTTGCTCTGTGTGGACAGGATTCATCACTCCACTGTTCTTACTTGGCTCGTTTGGCCATCTCGTTGCCGTCCCAGCGTGGACTGTAGGGGTAAGACTTCTGCACCTGAGAGTACAGCTGCCCACTGCTGGTGAAGTGATAGATCGACTGAAACGTGAGGGTGGGTTGATCTCGAGGGAAGTATAAAGGCAGGTCCACTACAGGAAGACAAGAGATAAGGGTTCATGTTATTATCACAGTATATAAAGGCAACCCAGGCTCAATGGAAATACGTGCACATTTCTCCTTGCGTAATACTACATTACAACCTCAAAACACCTGATTTGTAAACTAAAGCGCACTCGTGATCCGTGTCCTGAAGAAATGTCGCCGCAGTCACGCTTCAGAGAAAACCGAGGACGCTATTTATTGGACATTTCACTTTGAAATTCACGCTTTTTTCACAACACGGGGCTGTTTAAAGGGATAGTTCAGTTTAAAATAAATTTTTGGTATGTTTTATCTTACCTCAAGGGCATCCGAGATGTAGGTGTCTTTGTTTCCGCAGTAGTTTCAATTTTGATATTTTAAGGTCAAACCGTTCTTGTCTGTCAGTCATATAATGGAGGTCTATGGTCACCACCTCAAAGAGCATGCACAGAGAAGTCCAGATTAAACATGATGTAATGACTCGTAAATGTAAGTACACATTGATGGCCTAAGACACGAAACGAGCGGTTTGTGTGAGAAAACAAACAGTATTTATATCGTTTTTACCTCTTGTTACCACAGCCACGTCCAAGTGATCATCATCACTCATTGTTTACAAATAGATTTCAGAAGTGTTACCCTTAACTGTGAAGATCTAAACATATTTAGATATACAGGAAATCGCAATGGAAGACGATTTCGATATATCAACAGATGCAAGAGATCACTTCCGCCTCTTTCCAGCATTTGTGCAGATGTGGATGTGGCTGTGGTTAGAGGTAAAAACGGTATAAATACTGTTAATTTTCTCACACAAACCGCTCGTTTCGTGTCTTAGGCCGTCAATGTGTACTTACATTTATGAGTCATTAAATCATGTTTAATCTGGACTTCTCTGTGCATGCTCTTTGAGGTGGTGACCATAGACCTCCATTATATGACTGACAGACACGATCGGTTTGACCTAAAAATATCAAAATTGAAACTACTGTGGAAACAAAGACACCTACATCTTGGATGCCCTTGAGGTAAGATAAAACATACCAAACATGTATTTCAAAGTGAACTATCCCTTTAATTAACCTGCATCTTCAATGAAATCAAAAAAGTTGCTTATAGTGCCTTTTGTGGATGTGTCGCCTATACACTCAAAAAAATGCTGGGTTGTTTTAACCCATCTTTGGGTTAAATATGAACAAACTCAGCCATCGGGTTAAATGTTTAAATTACATTTTTAACCCAACATTTGGGTTTGTCCATATTTGACCCAAATTTGGGTTAAAACCGGGAGCAGCGTATTTCAGGCTGTAATGTAGTTTCCAATGAGTCTGGATTGCATAAAGGTGCACATGTAAAAGGCACATATTTGTGTATCTCACCATGGACCAGGAAGCAAAAGTCTTTCCACATCAGCAGAAGGGTGAGCTTGGTAAACCCAACAGCATCATACTCAACCACCCCCCTGTGCAGTCAAAATAGAGAAACATTAATAGTGTTGGATAAAATACGTAATCTTGGCATCCGATAGAGGCTACATAGTGGGATAATCCTTCACAACATGGAGAAGACTTGCTTTGAGGATATGATACAATATTCAAAAAAGATGCCCTTCCTTCCCTATCAAACATAATAAAAGGGATCATCTGTGACAGTAAATAACCAAGAGGAAATAACAATGCATTAATGCTCCCACAGCCATCACTGCCAATATCTGCAATTTAATCATTTATTTCAAAGCTAATCAAACAGAGTGGACCCAAAAGTATTTAAACCACCATTAAAAATGTAATTATTTTGTCATCTCATGCAATGGCATTCATGTACAAATTCATGGTGTCTTCTGGGACATTATCAGAAAGAGAACCGCACTGAATGCAATGCCCAAGTTGCCCTACTAAATCCCCAAAAGCAAGTTTCCCATAATAGCCTACATTAACACCACTTTAATAAATCAACGTGTTAGGTTGTGGCTCTCGCCAGACTGCCTTGTCTGACAATGTATTAAGGTGTGTTAATATACCGGAGACATCTTGGTGCCGTGTGTATTACAGCCCATTATAAAGTGACTGTCTGTACTTGTTTATGAGATTAGAAGCAGAATTATTCTCCGTAATTAAGAAAAAAAAAGGGAATTAGTGTTGGTAACTAATTTCTCATGATCACAGGGGCGTGGTGAGCAGCTCTACTGGTTACCAGTACATGCCTGGACT